AATCTAATTTCGTAAACCTCCATTAATGTGAATTTTGAATAGGCACTGAGAACAAAATTACTAAAAATAATATGACAATCTATGATTACGAGACCCGAAGCAAAAGAGTTCGTCTACTAAACAAAATGTAAGACACTGTTTCAAAACGAAATTTAGATCAGGAATTATAATTCCATGAGCCTAGAAAATAAAGTGTACATTTTTTAAACTTAATGTAGTTTCTTTTTTAAACAAATTATAAAATATTTAGTTCTCACTTATAAAAAAATAATTTCGAAGACCTAAGTAACCCAACCGTTTGCACTGAGGGCGGTGGATGTGGAGGTCCTGGGTTTAATTCCCCATAGGGATATGAACTTTCCTAACTTAACTTTAACTTTCCTCGTGCAGGTATTTTGTTATTCGTGAATCTGCTGCACTGGTACGCATAATATAAAGAATTCCGTAGTTTGAAGACCAGGCAATTGGCGTGGTTGTCCAGTGCATTATTACTATTCACAATAACAATTCACTATCTCCCGCCATTCAGGGCCTTTCTTTCTTTTTATGTGTAGCACAACTCGATAAATAAGATATTTCGATACTCACATAAGCGACAACTTTGACCTCGCCCCTTTGCGTCGAGTAATACTGATTAGCCGTAGTCAACAAAGCAAGCAAAGTTTCCCTTGCTACAATCTCCCTTTGCAATGCTTGCGTATACCGTTCTACACATTGTATACCTTCGTTTAGTTCTTTTTCAACATCATCTTTGTTACTCCTATCTGTAAACAAAAATAACATGCTGTGTTTATGACATGATTCTTCCCTGACACGTCAAAATACTAGAAATATAGCAGTTAGAGCTCCTTGTGAAATCATCCAGGGAAGTACTCTGTCGTCCACTAACAAAACGCGGCTAAATGACAAACGGTCAAATATCCGTTTTAAGTAGCAAAATATAGAGCACAAGTCTCTTTTAAAATGAGTCAACGTCTTCGAATCCGACCGGATCGAAGGAATTTTTTCTGAGTGTTCGATCTTTGTATTAATGATTACAATAAACTAGTGGAGTAATTTCACAAAAAATAATTAAATATCTATTCAATAAAAATTTAAAATTTCAATAGGTTTTTTTTTATGCCTTGCCTTTTAGTTAGCGGACGGCAGCACTGCCACCTTACGTATTTCTGCCGCCAAACAGTAATGTGAACATTCCGTTTTGAAGGGTAAGGGTGCTGGTGAAATTACAGGCACATACTTTTCAACTTATGTCTCGGGGTGATGGGCAGAGGCAGTGCACCTCAGATCTTTGCGATTTAAAGCTCTTGAGTAGTACTGCAACTGTACTGTTATGGACACGCGTGTCGTTTAACACGACTTGTTCGTCCCGTAACTTAGTTTCATAAAAAAATAACATGTCTCCTTTTGTATGGAACTGGGATGTTATTATTTATGTTGCAACGAATAGTATTTTCGGTCTCAGAGCGACTACCGAGTATTCGGCCAAATTATTCCGCCCGATTAACGCACTTATAACAATTTGCGAGCAAACCGCAAATGATCGCGCACCCTGATCTCTGATTAGCCCGCTGTCACTACGCTTACGAGTTAATTCTTGACTAGTTTTTGTTTTATTGGTTACCTTTTTTGACCTCTTAAAAAACTTAGTTATGTTTATATGTAGTTTAGTAATATGTAATTTCCTTTGATCTTTTAAATAATCTGGTAATGCTACTCTTTCTGGATCTTCCAATGTATGTTCAGCAGTAATAAAAGTTAATGATAATTTACTATGTTTTTTCTAATTTTTCCTCTTATTTGAAAGAAAGAAAGGAAAACCTGGTAACCTTAGCTTACATAGTAATATGACAAAATAATAACAAAAAATAAAATTATTTTAGGATAAAACACAAGATAAAAGAATTACAATTAAAAGGTTACCAAAACTGTCTCTACTCTACAAAAACCTTGTAACAAGATATTGGGAAATATCTCGTTACTCTGCTTTTCAGTGAAGTCGAATTAATGACATAAATGATGTCGCTTCGTCTAAAATAGGCCGAATGGGTTGAACATCGAGTAAAAAACCGAATATTCGTTGCAACCCTTATTTTTACTTTCGTCCACACAGTGAAAAATTAGCAAGTGACGGGACAAACAAGTCGTGCGCCAGTTGTGAATCGACACATCTGTATATAACAGCTGCAGAGGTGCTACAGCTTTAAATCGCAAGTTGACAAGTCATGTGCCTGTAATTTCACCAGTACCCTTACCCTTCAAAACTAGAACGCAGTAAGGCTCACATTACTGCTTGGCGACAAAAATGGGTAAGGTGGCAGTACTTCACTCTCACAAGGAGCTCTACTGTTGCTAGTCATAATACATAATTAATTAAACTTGTGTCTAATGGATCAGGCTATGTTTACTTATAATTTTCACTTTTGTTCGAAAATCGTCTCCAGAACAAGGGAATAAGAGCCGTCAATGTGTAGCTTGATGTAGAGCTGTCTGTTCAAACTACTAGATTAAATTGCTTAAAATATTGCCACAGTTTAAATTGGAACCAAACTTTATCGAACCCAAGTACAAACTTATCAGTGTCTCTGAAAGATAAGTTTAAAGAAATTTATATTCTTATTTAAAAATTAATATTAATTTACTCATAAATAGTAGTAATAGCCATAATATAAGGCAAATTAAGTGTACGGAGATTTTGCTAAAGATTTTCAGTAGATTCGAATTTCCGTATCCTACTGCCGTGCCACACAAGCAACGATAAACTCAACCCTATTGACTGAACATATCCAGTTACCGCAGGCTAATCGCGCAAGGCGAAAGAGAGCCCAATCGCATTTACGTTCTGCCTTTCATATGTCCTACAAATTTAACTATTTCAATTATTTGACCTAATAAACCCACATTGTGTATTATTATTATTTCATGACGTAACAATGACTTACTATTGTAAATATGTATAGTACTATATAGGATTGAGTTAAGAATTACAAAAATTCGTAACTGTAATATAATACAGATGGTATGCCAATTTTGGTAGAACATTGTCTTACTTATTATAATTATTTATTTACTGAGAATTGGCTATAGAGTCATAACCTAAAAAAGGTAATAAATAATAAAAAAAATTAAAACAATACTTAAACTAAAAATCAATTTATTTAAAAACTGTGACCACAAAAACCCGCCATTTTTTTACAGAACTGTCTTAATACCTGTACCACCTATTGTGAAACGTTTTAAGTAAATAATAATTTGTTCAGTAATTTGTTACAGCTCAGTGTTCGTCATTTAAAGTGCTTACGTGTCAAAATTATTTACAGTATTGCCATTTAAACAAAAGTCACTAATTATCTGTTAAGATTGACAGCAGCACGTTTCTTTACGCACCGACACGTTACTGTGACCGTTACATGTTGCAAAATAAACAAGCAAATATAACTACTTCTTACCTTTCAAACTTGCACATAAAGCATCAGCATCTGAAAGCTGCAAATGGCTTTCGTGGATGTACTTGAGCCTCAAATCCGTATCTGCCTCCAACACTGCACATTGCTTAATTTTGTTTACTAGTTGCTGTGGCTACAAGAATGAAAATTGAATGGTTAGATCAGAAATGAAGATACTGCAATTCAACAAAGCAACAATGTAGATTAACAAGATTATGACCCCTGGTAATTATATATCCTCCTAAGACCCAACAAATTATAATGAGAAAAGTGTTAAACGCCCAATATACATTGTAACGTACTAAAAGTGTGTAAAAAATAAATGTATTGTCTGAGCCTGAATCACTTCACATTATCATGTACATTGTGACCTACACGGGGCCTAAGGAGGACACTTAAAAGGGCTTAGTAAAAAAAAGGCAAATCATCTCACTTATTGTCAGCATCCTCACTGCTAAACACAACAGTTCAGCTGGACACTTTTATATAAATTCAAAGTAACTTGGAAGCTTTTACAACCTTCACATGAATATTCAGGTATTGAATGACTATAGTTTTAGCTGATAGTATTTTGAAAAGCATACTCATACCATACAACAGTACTTTTACATTATTATTCACAATGTGAAGATTTTATTGGCATCTCACAAATCACATATTAATGATTGCTTTATTACTGTTAAACTTTAAATATTTATGTCCAGTATATTCATGTGAGTTAATTGACTGTGAGTAACTTCCAAAAAAATATCAAGAAGTTTTTAGTCAAACAATCTGTTAACTTGTGTTATTACCATTAGGGTGCCTTTAAATTAGGCGCATGTTTCACTTAATGTGACTGCAAAAGTGGCGCGCGCGTGTCTAAATATTTTGTCTGCACTTCTAAATATTTTAAGAAAATTAGTAGTGGCGCTGCTGCAGCTTATATTAGTAATGTTTAGAGAAGGGTGTTTAAACGAAAAGCACTTAAAAAAGTTTGCTTTATAAAATAAGCACATAAGCATGCCTTTCAATTTAAGCGTGAGCGTTAGTCAGTTCAAAACTTGACAATTTCATTTTTTACAATGTGCTTATGTTTCAAGTGCCGACATGTACATATGTTTTCTAAACAAATTAATTTGTCAATGTGAATAATAATTTTATAATAAAAATAAAACTCGTGTTTTACAAATAAACTTACTTATATTAAAACCTTTAGTGGTCTACTCTTGCTTTTCGCTATGAACACAATGTTGCAAGTTTTTTTCACATAAAAGTCTATGCTATATATTTGTAAGCTTCAAACTAAAAAGTGTTTAAGTGAAAATCGTTTTTATAAGTATGTTTTCTAAAAAAGGTTGTTTTAATGTTTAAAAAAATAAGCCATTTTTTCCATCTCTAGTAATGTTTGTATGTATTATTTCACTTACTTGAAAGTCCAAAGGATCATCATCAGTCTTCTTAACAGCTCCAGCACTTAGCAGCCCCGTGAGATCTGATAGAAACTCGTCATCATACACTCCTCTCTGCTCCCAAATTTTGAAAATACGAAGTATCTTTGGCCTGACCTTTTCATCTCTGGAATTTAATAAAAATTATTAAAAATGGTATGCACACAAGGAGCCTCCACACATGTCGTACCATTCCTTTTCTAACCGTTTGGCACCATACGCTGCTTGGCAAATCCTTTTACCATTACAGTGTAATAAACAATTTCAAATTTAACAATTATTAACTATGAGAAGAGTACTCGCAGGGAATGCTGTCTCACACATTTTGACTCACTCCCTAAAAAGGTCATTGTTTTGAAGTAATTGGAACTGAACATTTAAAAAAACATTCAAACAAATTATTTCACGTATTTGAACTAGAAACACCTTCACCTAGACCCACGACAATGCTCCTACTTTAAGTATCAACAGTATACTTATTACTAACCATAATTTAAACTGAAAAACACGACAACAGAAAAGTCTAATCATTTCCATAAAGTAGATCAAAATATTCAAGGCTTTTCTGGCAAAACATTAGAAATAAGTCTTTTTTTGCACAATATTTCGGTTGACGTGTTTTGTGTTACAGAACACTGGCTGAAAGACTACAAAGCAATTAACAACATAGAAAATAATGTAAGTCAGTTCGTTCATAAGAAAGAGCTTAAGTAGACGCTGATCCATGAATATTATTAAATGTAACTTAAAATTTAAAGAGCGTAAGGATATCACAGATCTTTCTACTGAACGAACTGTTGAGATTTCATGTGTGGAATTGGATCAGTTTGTCGTCTTTTATGTATACAGGCCCCCCTTTGCTAATTTTAACGAGTTTGAATTAATTATGGAAGATAGTTTAAAGCGGATTTTTCCAACCAAAAACAACTAATATGTGGAAATTTCAATGTACACCTGTTGGAAAACTGTTCTACTTCTGTAAGACTCATTAATTTATTTGAAAGTTTCAACTTGATTAATCTTTTCTTAGAACCAACTCGCATCATTGCCTCCTCTTATACTTGTATTGATAACATCTTTTGTAGCACAGATGCAGTGTCTAAATCAATAATAAATTGCTTAAGATCAGACCATAGTGGCCAATTGGCTTCTTTTAATTGTAAAATGAGCAAGAAGGTAGACCAATTTCTCTGCAGACCGATTACCACATCATTTGATTTCAAAATAATATCAGCAATAGTTTAAATTCCCTACCCCATATACCGGAGGTTCCAAATACATTATATAGCACGATATTTGGTTTAATTAAAAATGAATTTGATAATGTATTTAAATCGAAAACATTAACTTTCCATAGAAAGACTAAATTCAACTACTGGGCAACAGTGGGTAGGTCTCGTTTGTATGCTATGAAAACTTATAATACTAATTCCAATTTCATTGAATATGTTAGAAATTATTCAAAAATATTTAAAAAAGTATGTGTAGCTGCTAAGGTTAAGTTTCACAGCGACAAAATTAGACAATCGATAAATAAACTACTTGGAGCATCGATAAATAAACTACTTGGAGCATAATAAGTAAAGAGTCAGACAGGGTTAAACAACACGATAGAGGTATAGTTTTAGAATTTGACAGCAAACTTATAAAATCTAAAGACAAGATAGCACAAGCTTTTGAATCGTTATTTTCGGAAATTGCTGTGAACACTACAGAATCATTAAATTCCTCCCCTTCTCTTGCTATTGATCTCCTAAAGGAAAATATTAACGTTTGTGTCAGTTTATTTAATTTCCGTCATGTTAATCCACAAGACATCATAAAAGCTTTTAAATCAATACATGTTAAAAAAACTGAAGATCTCCAGGGTATATCAACTAAATTATAGACTCAGTTATTGACCTAATTTTCCCACATTTAGCTGTAGCTTTCAATAGGTGCGCTGACGAAGGTGTTTTTCCCGATTTAATGAAATACAGCAAGGTTATTCCCTTATTCAAAAACGGTAGGAAAGTCGATCCTAGCAACTATAGGCCCATTTCAATTTCACCAGCTTTAAGTAAAATATTCGAAAAGGTTATGCTGACTCAAAACATACTGTCCTATTTCGGTAGGAATCATATTTTTCATAGTGAACAATACGAATTTACTAGTGGTAGATCAACTAGTGATGCGGGGGTAGCGTTACTAAAACACATCTTAGATGCTTGGGAAAGGTCCCAGAACGCTATTGGTGGTTTCTGTGACCTCTCAAAGGCATTTGATTGCGTTGGTCATATTACTCTTGTTAGGAAGCTGGAACATTACGGTGAACTGGCAAGGCGTCGAAACTTGTCTCATCTTATCTCAACGATAGAATTCAGAAAGTAGACATGAATAGAGTGACTTCTTTGGATTCTCCAGTAAAATGGGTGTTCCGCAGGGCTCAATACTTGGACCTTTCTTATTTCTGATTTATATTAATGATCTGTCATTCTTTGTTAAAAATCATTGCGAAGTACTGTTGTTTGCTGATGACACATTCTTGATTTTTAAAACAGACATACATGACATTAACTATGACCATATTCTCTCTCTAAGGTAGTTTATTGGTTTAATGATAATTATTGCTTAATGCCAAAAAGACAAAATGTGTTAAATTTGAACGTAAAATCGACTAGTCCAAGCATAGAAATAAATAGAGAAAAGTTAGACCTTGTTATTAAAGCAGTCTTCTTGGGAGTGACCTTAGAGAGTAAACTTCAATGGTTTCCACATATATCTTCCCTGGCCAGCAGATTAAGCTCCGCTGCATACGCAGTGCACAGATTATGTGAGCTTACCAATTTTAGTACTGCTAGACTAGTTTACTTTAGTTACTTCCATAGTATAATGTCCTACAGGATTCTCATGTAGGGTAAAGCGGCAGATATTCAAACCATATTTGTATTGCAAAAACGAGCAATTCATTCTGTGTTCCGTCTAGGCTCTCGGGTTTCTCTCGGAGAAAAGTTTAAGGAGACTGGTATCATGACTGTGGCATCACAGTACATTGACTCAAATATTTTATATGCCCATAAAAATATACATAATTTCTATAAGAAAGAAGATATCCATAACATTAACCTTAGACTTAAGTCCAAAGTCATGGTACCACGATTTCGTTTAACCAAGGTAAACAACTCTTTTATGGGGAACAGTACACGTTTTTACTATAAGATTCCGGAGCATATATTAAGTTTATCATTTCCTAAATGTAAAAACTACATTAAAAATATTTTGATTGAAAAATCATATTACAAAATTGAAGACTATGTGTTAGATAAAGATGTATGGAAAGACGACACGGCTCCAGAATCCACACAAATTTGATTCAATGTGCATTCCATAGCATTTAAGTTTATTTTAAAAGAGCAATCCCTAGAGTTTCTCGCTCGTTCTTCTCAGGGAGGTCAGCGTTGTGAATGAGCAGTACTTTAAATGTGACATTTTCAAGTGTAAATTTATTTTACCTATGGAATAAATAATCTTTGACTTTGACTTAAATCAAAAGCACTTGAGGGGATATAATAAAGAATGTCATAGATGTAACAAAAATCAATCATATTGTGACAACACATACAACATGCATATGAGCGTAATTCAAACGCCGGTGTAGGTTTCAAAGTTTGATGATGAAACAAATTTTTACTTTTGTTTCATCATCAAACTTTGAAACACTGGTGTCTATCTTTGCTTGTTCCCAATTAATTTAAAACTCGCAAAGCCCTACTTAGCCCTGTAGCAGAGACCTAACATAACATACCAAATACATAACTCGCTTGTATTTTTCTCTATAACCTGTCCATCGTGTTTAAAAGGGAATCTAACCATCCCATATTCATCATCAACAATGTATGTTTATTGACAATAATTTGACTAAAAGCGATACTAACCTCACCAGAGGTGTAGCTTTCTGTAAATTAAGACCCCAGCTCTCAACAAACTCGTAATTTTTCCTCTTACTGTACTGAATAACATCATTCGCCAAGTAAAATAGTACCAATCGTTGTTCCACCTTGACTCGTTTTAACACATTCAACCAACTGGATACAATTTTCTTGTGGTGTTCCCTCTGCTTCAAACACCAAGTAGACAACGACTGGATACTCTCCTGAGTGCCTTGCAGCTGCATCAACTTCTTTTCAAATGCCAAGGTATTGAATTCTTCTACTTCGCCCATTGTTAACACACCGTTTGTGGACACCGGATTTAACACATTTCAAAAATATTGCGAAGAAGCACAGAAAATAACAATACACTTTAATGTTATCACTTAATTTAAGTTATATAAACACAATCAAACACAAAACACGAGGTAGGAAAAGCAAAACCCGCCTCAAAATGCGTGTTGGCCATAGATTTGGTAGATCCTAATTTCCACTCAAAATTTTAACATGAAACACTATCAAAGCATTAAACACAAAATATCTATAACAGTAATATATATTTTACAGCGAAATATTACTTCTGAACACAATATCTCCAGATATTATCGCATCACAATCACACTACATATACGATGCGAGATTATTTTCTACAACAACCGCCATCTTCTTTATCTAATTTTTTTATATTGAATGTGACCAATATTGAAAGGAAGAATCCTGCACAAAATATATTATCATGAACCCCGTGCTGTGCGTGAAAAGTTATTATTTATAGGATGAAACGGATATCTAGTAAGTATCTGGTATACGGCCTATCTGGCCTAATTTTGCTGTCCGGCCGGATATCCAAAACTGAGAAAAATTCATAATCAGTACGCAAAATAAATTGATTTATTTTATAGAATAGGATTTAGGATGTACACGTCGTGCGATGTGTACAGTATAGTAATAGGATAATTAACAACTACACGATCGTTGACAATCTGTCTAATACTCGTAATTTTATAGAATTATGCAGTTAGATAACGTAATCTGTCAAGTTAGTACTAAAATTTCAATAAAGGCAAATTACGATGGATGAAAATCAGTTTCTTTTACTGCATTATTCTTAAACGAGAGCACCTTCAAAAGATAGCTTTTCGCTCTAAACTCTTGCAAATTTTGTTAAATTTAGATACTGCTAGATATTATAAGATCACCAAATGTAAGGATCGCGATTACGATCGATTCGAACTGCCTTCAATTAGAAAGCTCTGCCCACTGTGCTCCATCGTCGACTTTATCGTTACTCTCTGAGATGGAGGTTCCTTTATTTTTTTTCCATCCTCTAAGAATGGTGGTCCAAATGAGTGAACTTATTTTATTTTAAACAAAGAATTTTGCAATAATTTTTATTCGTCCTGGCTGCGTCCTATTCGCACTTTCTACATACGTGTGCAGAATTTTTTTTAAATGGTAATGCCGTGAAATATCCACACGTTTTTTTGGTATTTAATTTAACTTCTGATACTAAAGACAGAAAACAATGCTTAACAAAATTTGTGTCTGTGCATTTCATGTTTTAACGACATAGCATTTTAAATAGATTAAAAAAAGCACGATGAATTGAGGTTATAAAAAGTTTTTGTTTGTTTAAAATTTGGTTCAAAATTGTTACAAACTATAATATGCCTGGCCCAGATTTATTATCAAGTCAAGGGCTTCGCTTGGACGGACGGCGACCGAATGAACTCCGTCGGATAAGGTGCAAGCTAGGTGTGTTTACCCAGCCGGACGGCAGTGCTTACTTGGAACAAGGGAATACTAAAGTTCTTGCTGCAGTTTATGGCCCGCATCAGGTCTGTATTCACTAAGATCCCATACCAAAGATATCTGCTTAATTTCGTGGTATTTATTGCGGTCTACGTTATGTGATTATTTTGTGATAACAATAGATATATATGGAGGTGCAAAGAAGTCTCATATGCTTAATAGCAGAATTTAGTCTCTGCTCTCACTTAGCTGGAGGTTGGATAACCGATTATTCAAATCACAGTGGCTTGTGAAAGCCCTGGTCAGTATTAGAAAGTCATTATGGCCCAATGTAGTAGGTCTAGGGTCTAAAGTACGCGTTATTCAGTCAAATGTATACATATATGCAGCTAGATGAGGTGCATGGGGAGGCATGAATGCGTTGTAAATATTTAATGCCAATTCTCTGAAACAAAATATAAAAGGTAGGTTGATGTTTAATGACTCGCTAGCTACTTTAAAAATAAAATTAAAAAATATTTTATTAAAAATCTTCATGATCTGTTTTGTACCACATCATTTATTTAAAATCTTATTCTATTATATTATATTAGGGATTATATTGTTTTTACTTTTTCTTTTAACTGTAAATAAAATTGGAATTATAATTATAATGAGTAATTGAATAATTAATTTACATGAGATGCTGGCATCTATTCCTCAAGACTCGGTGCTGGGGCCAATGCTGTTCTCTATATTTACAGCAGACTTACCTGAGAGAGAATGTGGAATGGCAACATACATTGATGACACTGTTTGTCTTGCAAACGACATTTATCCCTTTACAGCATCACAGAAGCTTCTTAATAGAATAGATCAGTGGTTACAGAAATGGCGAATAAAATCCAGCACCTCCAAATCTATACACATAACTTTAACATTATGCGAAGGAGAATGCACATCCGTGACCATGGGCGGTGAACCTCTTCCAAGTAAAGACCATGTCAAATATCTGGGCATGCATCTTGACAAGCGGTTAACCTGGGCACACCATATAAAAACTAAAAGAAGTGCTGCTCACATTCAATACAAAAACCTATACTGGTTGATAAGTCGACAATCTCCACGACACAACAAGTGGATGGTGTACAAGTGCATCATCAAACCCATCTGGACTTATGGAATAGAGCTCTGGGGCTCAGCCAGCAACTCAAATCTCGAGATATTGCAGAGATGTCAGAACATAGTACTGAGAACTATATCTTGTGCACCATGGTTTATAAGGAATAGTGAGATCCATGAATATTTGAATATACCAACCAACAAAGAAGAAGTAAAGAACTACAGTAAATAATATAAAGCCCGACTCCTTATCCTAGAAACCTGTTGCATTCACAAAACCCAACTCGGTTGAAAGGATGGCTCATCTTAAACCTAGATCAACAAATGTGAACACAACTACAAACCATGACAGGGCATGATACTCGCAGGAGCAAATCTCTCCATCGCCATTAAGAAAACCCATATGATTATGACTTTACAATCCAATGGCAGATTTAAAAAAATAAAAAATAACAAAAAAAATTATTCTTGAATCTGTATACTTGTAAACTTTGTAACCTAATGTATAATTGCTATTTTTGTGTATGCTTAAGTTGACTTTTCTATACAATAAATAAATAAAATAAATAGATATTTAAAAATTGGTTACTAGAGAATTTCCTCATTGGAATTCTGTTCAATCTATATAATTTTGTACCCCTAATATTTGGGTATTTATTGTATGGACCTTAGAGTTCCTTGCCTTTTAACCCTTTCATATAAAATACCTGTGTCCAAATAGAGTGCAGAATGAGTTTTTTTTTCAGGCATCGAAATCAAAAGTTTCGACAGATGGTGTTGTAGTGAACTGCCAATATAGTATGGCTACATTTTCCACAGGTAATATTTTGGTTCTTTACAGACTTAGTTCTTGTAAGCAGCTTGTTGTATAAGAAAGAGCCTGCTTTTAGGATACTTTCGATCAATAGAATAAAAAAAAGAAAAGACCTCAGTTTAAACATCAATATTCTTTTCCCTCCTTGACAAAAATAAAATTAAGAAATCCATTACGATTTTCTAGAGATCTCTTACTGTTTTCTGCTTCACATTGAAATAAATTTAATATATTCCAGGAGAGAGAAAGAATCGTCCACGTGGCGACCGCAAGTCACAAGAAATGTCAATGCACCTACGTCAAGCACTCACTGCTGGCATCAAGACCGAGCTGTATCCAAGGTCGCAAATCGACATTTATATTGAGGTTTTGCAGGTAAAACGTTTTTTAAATCGAGGGTGAAACATCACTAATTAGTGCACATCGCCACTCCTGATTTGACGCGAATTTTGGTGACGAGCGTAAAAGGCACCTAGAAACTAATGAGAATGCTATGAGAAAGTAAATATCAGCGGTAAAAAGTAAGCATCAGCAACACATTTAAATGTAAACCCGGTGAACGTAATGGGCATGAAGCTGTTCCATTGACCCTGATGCACGCTAAAAGACTGACTACTTTTTCTTACTCTTACCATGGACCAATAACACAAGAGGACTGCTAATCTCCATACTACAAATTGTAACTGAAAAATATCAAAATTCCGCCTTATATCTAAATGGCGCTTGTAATAGCCTGGAAGTAGTTTATATTATGTAAATGGCCATGTATATCAAGTGGATATTAAGATTTTAAGTCCTCTTTAGTTTGTTTTCCTTGTAATATTATCAAATACTGATCATGAGCTAAAATTATTTTCTGAACATTAATAAATATGCATGTCAATAGATGGCATTGTGTGTCATAAAGTAATTTATAAATTAATACTTCTGATATGGGTAGATGGCGCTAATCCTATACAAAATAAAAGAATGGCCAAAATCTGTGCAACAAAGGAGTAGCAAATTAATTAACTTCCATTTTTATTAACATGGACTTCCGCAAAGTAACACTTGAATCTATTAATCACTTAAATTACAGCTTGTCAAAGTAAAACAAGTCAGTTACAACAATAGCTATTTGGTACTCGTCGCTACACATCTGGTATATCAATAGGTACTAAATACCCGACTATGCTGTCTTGTAGTTATAGGTCAGCGCCTATACATATATGCTAATATCAGCATATGAAGTTGAACAATTTAAATTGACTGACTTTTCTAGACTTCCATGCCACCATGTCGACTTTAGGATTACCGTTACTGCCAATTTTTTGAAAACATTTGTGATTATTGATGGACTGCAATAGACTCTATCATGTGATGTTTATATGATCTGTGTGAAAAAAGCTCGATATTCATAGGCAGACGGCGGAAACTTCTGTGCATCAGTGAATGCGGCGACACTTGCCCTAATAGACGCCGGCATCCCCCTGCGCGCGTATGTGTGCGCCTGTTCAGCGTCGATGGCGTGGAAAGGCGGCGAGCCCACGCCCTTGGTCGATGTAGGACACGTGGAAGAGGCTGCGGGGGGCGTTGTACTTACGGTCGCCAGTTTGCCTACCACAGGTAAAGTTAGGGTTACACACTGCGTGTGCCGTAGCCGATCAACGCATTTACAGTACGTATTATCTATAATTTAAAACTTTTCGAAAATAACTACTCCAAGAGAAAGGGCAGCGCGCATTAATTTTACCCGCAGTTGAAATAATATACCTACCATTGTTGTTTATTTCGGGTTTTTCAATAAGGACATAACATTTTTGTATTTCCACAAAACACATAAAATTTGTATTGAATTGATACTCAATTATTTTTTGTGAAATCACTCTACTAATTTCGAATCTTAGGGTCGTATTCTAGAACTCTACTCAATGCTCAAGTCAGGATTTGAGTATGGTTTAAAGCACTTGAAATCATACTCAAGTCCCTGCCATTAGGGTCGTATTTCCAGTGCTTGTGTTTCCAGTGCAATCCTGACTTGAGCATAGAGTAGAGTTCTAGAATACGACCCTAACACTAGAATCGAACACTTAGAAAAAAATCCTTCAATCCGGCCGGATTCGAATCGACATCTTCTACAAACCGTGTCAGACGCTATGCCAACTAAGCCACGGAACGAACCAGCGAACCGCAAGAATTTTTCTATGTGCTTGTTGTCGGAGCTTTTTTTTTATTTATTTTATTTTTTTGTTATTTGGGAAACATACAGCTTCATATAATACATTTCATTTTTAATATTAATGAATAAAACACTAGCCAAAACAGTTTCCACTAATGTTAAAACAAGTTACGACAGATGTCATCGTCCCGCGAACATCTTGAAGTACTGCTCCAAGTTTAAAAAAATAAAGTAAAAATGTGGAAATTGTGTCCAAACTAACTTTAAATGGTCTATTTTTTATATCTGGTGTATTTGTGTAAAAGTGTAATATCACATGATTTCAAGGAAAAGGAAAGTACCAGAGAAACAGTAAGTTTAGTAGTTTTAGTAGATCAATCAGTCTTTGAAAAAAATCAGACGAAAGAAAGAAAGTGATCATTGAGGGTATATTGAAATCTGTTTATAAAATAATCAGACACTCGATAGTTATTAAAAGGTGTCATAATATATATCAGACTATTTCGCGAACAATCTTAAGCAAGCATTACCTCATCGGTAGACCGTGCAACCGAGCATTGTAGTCGACTCGTTTGACTCGGGTTCGACCCTGCCGGTTTTGCATTTTATTTTCTTACTTATTTTACAATAGAAATAAGTATAAAGTAAGTATTGTCGTCTCTGGCGACTTTAATAATAGGGGTTAAAGTATGAAATTGCCGATTTGTACTGAAAATCTAAATTGTTTATTTTTTAAATTTTTAACAAATTTATTTAATCAAAATAGTTGCCATTATTATCTATACATTGCTGCCATCTAATGGGAAGGTTATTAATGCCTTTGCGATAGAACTCCGACGATCTAGACTGCACAAACTGTGTGAAAGCATTTTGTACTGCCTCCTGGGAAGAAAACTTCTTGTCACGTAGATAATTGTCCAAATCACGAAAAAAATGGTAGTCCGTTGGAGCAAGGTCTGGTGAATACGGAGGATGACGAATGGTTTCTAACTGCAGTTCCTGAAGGGTCAAAATGGTTTCTCGTGCTGTGTGAGGTCTCGCGTTGTCGTGGAGCAATAATGGTGAAGATCGATTCATGAGTCGGGGCTGTTTTACTGCTAGTTTTGTCAACATGGTTCGGAGTTCGGCACAATAGACATCTGCCGTTATTGCTTGACCAGATCGGAGAAAACTATAGTGAATAACACCATGCTGAGACCACCAAACAGTTACCATTACCTTTTTATTGGTAAGTTTTGCTTTAGGACACTGTTGTGGCATTTGACCTGGGGTCAGCCATTGCATTTTTCTTTTCCGGTTATCATAAATAATCCACTTTTCATCACATGTTACAATTCGATCCAATATTCCTTCATTTCTGTACCGGTTCAACAAGGCAACACAAGTTTCAACACGCGTTTCTTTCTGCAGATCAGTCAAATCATGAGGCACCCATTTTTCGTATTTTTTTATTTTATTGATTTGACGCAAGTGAGTCAATATTGTGGGTAAGGTAACGTTAAACCATGCCGCTAATTCCTGGGTAGTTTGACTAGGATCGGCTTCCACTATCTCTCTTAATTCATCGTTATTCACCTGTGTGGGCGGTCTTCCTCGTGACTCGTTCTTTAAGTCGAAATTTCCATCACGAAAGCGTTTAAACCAAAATCGCACGGTGCGTTCATTAGTAGACCCCTCTCCAAACGCAGCATTGATATTGCGGGCTGTTTCTGCCGCGTTAGTTCCGCGTCGGAACTCGTATTCAAAAATCACTCGAATTTTCGCAGTATCCATCTTTCTTGTCTAAATTGAATAACAAAAACAATTGAAAGTCGATATTCAAATGTTTCAAATTAAAAAAAAAAAAATCACAGAAACCATTTGAAAAAAGTTTCATTCGAAAACCTCAAACCATGAAGATTCTATGAAAATTCAAAGAACCTATTGCAATAAAACGGCAATTTCATACTTTAACCCCTAATATTAATACATTAAAACTTTTTTTTTATTTAGATTTTTTAGATTATTATTATTATTATTATTTAACAAATTACCAACCACTAAGCAAGAAATTATAAATCAGTTTTAATTGTAATTTAAATTTATTGAATAGCATGATGTTCAACCACCACGATATTCAATTATGTTATGGGAAATCACTCCACTAGTTTGTATTTGGTTTTCAACTACTTTTTGGCCGTAGTGCCATCTACGAGAAATCTATGAAAGTATTTCGTAACCCAGTTAGGTATTTTCTCTAAAGTGTTCGATTTTTGTATTAATAATTATGAAAAAAAAACACAACAATAGAGATATCGAGCAAAAATACACATGTAAGGTGAAGTGCACATGTTACATTTCAGAATGGAATCGATCTCGTTCATATGACCACCGAGATACATGTTTGCTGCGTTCACCCCATAAAAATATTCCAACGGCGTCAAATCGCATAAGCTAGGTGGCCATGACTATTTAGCGAGATTACACGATCAACGAACTTGCTCTTCAACAGAACGACACATAGGAACGAGATCGAATTTCATAATAATAATAACGCACACACTCAACATTACCCCACTAACACAACCCCGCACTAGGGAAACCTGAGTCGCGGGTGCCATGGAGACACACATAGACAACCACAAATTACACCCAAACTCACGAGTATATTAGCAATATTTCACCCGGCCCGGGAATTGAACCTGAGACCGTCTGCGTGGCAGTCCGGCGTGGTAACCGTTCGGCCACAGAGGCAGTTTAAATGTAACATGTGAACTGCACCTGGAATAAACTTCAGCTTGATATCTCAATTATTCTGTTTTATTGCAATACGAAATTATTATGTCCTTATTGAAAAATCCGATAATTCTTGCAGCCACGTGTAGCATTACGCTCTTCAAAACAACTATTATAGTGGTAAAAACTCAAAGATTACTAAGTAATCTGAGGTGGTAAACATTAAATATTTTTCCAGGCAACATAGCATTGTTGGAAATATCGCACCGACTTCATATGGACTACTTTGATGCCGTCATGAGTCGAGCCATGCAGGGCTGCAGGGATATAGAGGTAAGATGTTCTCAACATCATGATGTGGAGAAGACCACTGTCGTGTAAGGCCCAGCGCCCACTGACACGGTAGTAGTAATATATTTTAATGTCACGACATTATAGTTGAAATTTCAATCATAATTGGTCATGGCTATAGGCACAAAGCTGCAGTAAGCTTTGGGATACCCAGCCGAGGCTTCTGAATCATTCACCCAAAATCTGCTCCTTGGAATATGGTTCTCTTCTTCTTCAGCAGGACTACCATTTTTAAATATACAATTGGTAATAAACATGATCGCGTCACGTCGACTTGTCGCGACGGTATACATAAGGATATCATGACATAATGAATGCCGAAGATCCCTTGCCATGCCAACCCACCAATGGGCGCCGATCCTAAGACCATTGAACCAGAGTTGCCGCTCGATAGTATTTTCGATAGCCACAGCACATCAGCAGTGCAGCGCATGAGTTTTGCAGTGAACATTGTCACTCGGCCGCTTACAATATTTGACTTGAGTAGTTCAAAAAAGTAACATTTTGTAGTTTTTTTTTTCTCATAAAGGACAACGCAAAGGCTTAAAACCACAGTCGTGGTGAATTTTTATTTTGTTAGTTTTAGATAAATAATCCATTATCTCTATTATATACGCATTAAGCATCGTCTCTGGCGAGTTATCACATCAGAGTGGGGTCAAATCAACGTAGAGTTTCAATTCCGAGAATACGTCAATTCCGATTAAATCCAAATCCTTTCCAAAGATCCTATAAAGCAGAATATAATTTCATTATAACTTTTATCCTGCACTTTTGCATTCACTCAGCCATTGTGTTAAATACATGATACTTCAAAATTTTAATAATTTGTATATTATAAGTCGTCTGTTCACCTTAAAAATTCAATTACCCAATTGCATTAATAAACGGTGAATGATTTTTTATTTATTTTTTAATTTCAGGTAATATTAGACAGAGCTGTAAGAGAACATTTAGCAGAAGGGTGGACGAAACAAGATGTGGTCACTATATAAAATACTATTTTTTAATTTACTGTTTTTTATTTTTATTCTGAACGATTTATACAACACGTTGTAAATCATGGCTAGTGTACAGTTATTAAGCGACGAAATAATTAACTAAGTTTTAACTAGATTGTAAGTTATGTGTGTAAACAATCACTTAACAGCGGTTAGCGTGTCTTATTCCAGCCTGATCATGGTTGAGCGCTTGAAATTTGACTAGTCAGGTAAAAAGTCCCCATTAAATCGGTTCTAGTCGCAAAAAAGTAGATTTAATCGGTCCGCCGTTCTTCTTAGTGTGTCGACTCTGACGTTTATATTTGTGAGGACCAGTAAAGGCGACTGACACAGCATTATCAGTGACATTGAACAGGTCCTCGCCTTTGCAGGTGTAGGGGAACGCAGGACAAGATAAAAGATGTGCCATAGCCTGGGGAGAGACTATGGCACTTCTGTGCATGCTCTCCTTGCTTCGGCCGACTTGGGTCCCCGCAGTCTATTTAAAGACTTCCAAGAGTGTCATGGTATGCCCAGGAGAGAGGTGCTTCGACAGCGGAATGAGTGATGCCGTGGGGTGTCTCTCCTTCCAGAGACGGACTACGGACTTGATTAGCTTCCCCGTCCGCCGTGAAAAAGTTATAAGGGTTACTGTTCACGCTGGAATAAGCTTATTCCAATGGTACCATTTTTCAATCTCGAGTACCACAGCACCTAGCTTATATCTGATTACACTATAAACAGAAAAAGGCGTTTTTAGTCGGTTCTAGTCGTAAAAAAACTTGATTTAGTGGTGGCGTTTTGAAATTATAAGGATGTTTTACTGTCCATGCTGAAATAAGCTTATTCCGGCGGCGGCACCATTTTTCAATCTCGAGAACGCAGCTAGCTTATATCTAATTGCACCCAGAAAAAGTCGTGAATTAATGAGTTTTAGTAGCAAAATTTTAAAATTATTCGCTCCTTTGTTTAAATGATATTGGAAATTCAATTAATTTCATTGATAAGTACATTTACGTAGAAAAAATCGTACACACATAAGTTAGTGTATATGTATAGCTAATGTTTTCGCCGCTATGCTCCCATGGGATCATAGAATATATTTCTATGTCTTCACTCCTATGGGATTCACTGTTGAACTATTTTTATTCTTCGCTCCCTAGCCACTGCTAGTCCGGCTAAATCTAGTTTTTTTGCGACTAAAACCGACTAAATGGCAACTTTTAATCTGACTATTCAAATTTCAAAACCTCGACCATGGTCACACTGGATTCAGGCACGTAAGCTTTTTTTTATAATATCAAGTGACAGGGCGAACAAGTCGTGCGCCTGATGGTAAGCTAAACGCCTGTCCATAACAGTTGCAGTGCCACTCAAAGCTTTAAATCACAAAGATCTGAGGGGCACTACCACTGCGCCCGTTACCCTGAGACATAAGTTGACTAGTCCCATGTGCCTAATTTCACCAGCACCCTTACCCTTCAAAACCGGAACACAGTAATGCTGTGTAATCATCGATTTACTGGATAATTAGATGAGAATAATCGTTTCGGACTGTTGGATCCGCTGTTTCTCGTTGGTCAGACTTGTCTGCTCAGTTTTACTAGTGGGTCCAATAGGATTTTCCAGCACTTATGTTTCCACTTAGATTAGTTAACAAAACCTCTTTAAGAGTCGTATTCCAGAACTCTACTCAATGTTCAAGTCAGGACTTAAGCAAACTTGAGTATGATTTCAAGCACTGGAAATACGACCCTAATGGCAAGGACTTGAGTATGATTTTCAGTGCTTTAAATCATACTCAAGTCCTGACTTGAGCATTGAGTAGAGTTCTGGAATACGACCCTAAAAATATATTTAAAAAATTGTTAGACAAGGACAATGTTTAACAGCTTTGTCGCTTGATACAATTTCCACTACTTTTTTGTTACGGATTAGCTTTGATAGATGGGAAAAAATCCAGTCTGGTTTGATCACGCTTTGTTTATTATAGCAAAATGTATGTCGATATATACCTTAATAGCTACCCGCCTACCGAACCTTATCCTAAACTCTATCTTTTCTATAATTTTTAATTCTGCTTTCCCTTTCATTGGCTAAATGCGAAGGCAGAGCCATTAATAAAAAAAATTTCTTTGACGAAGTAGTCAACCCTCCCGCACCCCGTGGATCCCCGAAATGCTGAAGTAGTTGCCTAAAGCTTCCCTAAAGCGTCTCTCAAACACGTGTATAATTAAAACATACTAAATTTATGATTCAAACTTAGTTACTTAGTCACTCAGTAGGTGTAAACTAGCCATCACAAATAGGTACAAATACGCCACTATTGAGCCATGAGACGAACTAACATTTAAACGATCTAAATCTAAATGATGATTTATATCTCACATGTGATGCAAGGAGATGGATAAAAACAAACAAATAGACTTACATATTTATTAGAGATCTGAACAAAATAAGAAATTAAATTATATGTACAGTCTATGTTAACTAACTAAATTAGAGGTAAGTTAATAGGTACACACAGTTTTATTACGTAGCTTATTGTATGGTAAAAGAAAAGGTTTCTCTATGGCAAACAAAGTTATATGGCGGAGCCTGACACCGCGCCGCCTGTGTTTAGTAACATAGCGAAAATGCAATAACGGTCAGCGCAAAACTAACGCAAGAGAAAACAAAAAAAATAAATAAACTATCGGATGTAAAATATCAGTCCATCCGTTTCCATGTGATTGCACACATTTCTAAAATAAATAAAAAGTTTAATCTTTGAATAAATAAACAAGTACAATATTGTACTTCTACAATTATTGTTCAAAGCCGCAATAATTAAACTTAAAATAATAAATATCGCTTCTTTAAGCCGTATTTAATAATTCTGTGATATTAAAAATAGTACAAAACTCTGCACTTTCGTTTAGTCCTCTTTCTACAATTTGCGTCACTCCGTCCACCGTACGATACGGACACGACACTACATCGTAACAACAAAACTGTCGACCGAAACAAGGACATACAAAATGTTACATCTTATTACACTGAGTTGCTAAGGCACTCAACTACAATTATCATCTATTAAATGTATATAGAAAATTTACGCGTAAAGCAAAACAAAATCTGGGCGTTTGTAAGATTAAAAATCGTGTTAACTCGTTCACCGTGAAACAATTTTCGTTCAATTCCAATGGAGTCTTAACCTAGTGTATAATACGAATAAATGTTTTTGTCACATCCCTATGGCTCTGTATGGTAGACGCTAACGGTAGATGTGTAGAAAAATCTAGTTCTGCGTTAGTTGGCTGCCACCGCCCCTTGCGCAGGCAACTTTTGACTAGAGTCTTCTGCCGACACGTCTGCAACAAAAACGTAAAATCAGTTCCCGTGTATTGTACATTTTTATAAATAACAAATCGCACCCCTCATGGAAGAATGGCATGAGTGAAGTTACGTCAAAAATGTTTATTCCTCCATTAGATAACCCACATTGTCTCCAATTCTTGTAACTCTATTGACTAATATTGTTACCATTTGTGATGTCATTTAAGCCATTCTTCCATGAGGGGTGCGAAATAACGCACACACTCGTAGCCCTGCACCAGGGAAACCATGTATCGTGGACGCCATGGACACACAAATTACGCCCAAAGTCTCGCGAGAAATAAATGTAGGCCATACAAATATTTGTTTCCGGCCTGGGAATTGCACCCGGAATCTCTACGTGGTAGACCAGCATGGTAAACCGTTTGGCCATGGAAGCAGTAAAAAGTTACAATATGGTTAAACATATTTGATAATATTAATCAATAGTTCTGTTACAATACTCTTGGATTTCTATACTACATGAAGGAATTTTTCTTGGTGGCGAATTTTCACAAAAAATACATGAAATCATGGTAGCAAACACAATTGTATTCAATAATTGTCAACAATTCCTCTTAAGTTTCTGGCAGCTGTAAAGTGACCTACCTGGCAAATAGTGCGCTTTTCAACAATACGCAGGCACCGTTGACAGCTGTACTACAACTATACAACACTGTACTAAATTGTGCGGCATAATTTTTAGTAGCAGTAAAGTTCCTTGTAGAAGAGTTTGTCCAGGGAATTAGTACCACCTTACCTATTTCTGCTGCTAAGCAGTAATGTGAGAGCATTACGTTGCAATTATGAAGGGTAATAGTGCTGGTGAAGTTACAGGCACATGAGACTTGTCAAGTTATGTCTGACTATGCCCCTCAGATCTTTGGGATTTCAACATTAACCTATTAACAAATGGAGGTCGGGTTCGCGCTAAAAAGTGTCCGCACCCGTAGGGCGTTAAAATCGGATACAGAGCGTCAATCCCGCAACAGTCCACGTTTGTTCGACTGACAGCGCGGTTGTCAATCATGCAGTACCAATAATAATAACTTATAAAAATTCCTGCAGTAAAGTGTAAAAAACAGGATTTTGTACCATATTTTCACTAAACAAATATATTGTGTTATCATAGTTATCATTTAAAATTGTTATTTGGTACAGTTGTATAATATTTAATTTATATATAAATGAACCGTAAATATAAATTACAAAGGCAAACAAAATAATCAAATAGCTAACTGTCCTTTTTCTACACGGATTTTCTACGGATATTTGAGTTTACGTTGTATTGGAACATCGGTTTTTCACATTTGCAATATTTGTTTGTATGTATCTGCCCAAATCTTTATCATTTCTTTAAGTGAATTTGTACAAAATTCGACACAATAATATACATAAAAATTAATTAATATTTACAATAAAGGCTGCTCCATTACTCTTGTGTTCAAGTAATTTTCAGTCGAAGCTAAATAAGGTGCATTTTGGTAACTTTTCAGTAGAACCTGAATATGGTGTTTTGGGCCCTTAAATTCTGGCAAGCAAAATTAGGCAGTACTGGAATGACGTTACAATTTAAATTTATATTTCATTACATGTCACTACGTTTGTATAGGTTATGTAATTTTGGACATTTTTTTCGTGGTTTTTGTATTGGACCCGACGTCCTTTTATTGGTAGGTCAATGGATTTAAAGCTCTTGAGTGGCATTGCAACTGCTAAAGACAGGCGTGTGTCGCTAATCACCAGGCGCACGACTTGTTCCTCCCGTCACTTGATATCATAAAAAGAAAGCTGCCTCACCGTTGTTAGTCTTGCTGGGCGAGTTGTGCGGCGAGCTGTGTTGCGAATCACTGGTGCTACCCTCTGCTTCGCCAGTCTCTCCTGTTTCACCCGCGGAAGACGTCGCCTGAACACGTTATTTTCATTAAATTTAATTTCCACCGCATCTATCTATTTGTGATGGTTCATGCTGCATGCATGATTAACTATGGTTCATGCTTTTACCACCTCTATCGGAGTACAGCTGACACTGCTTAATTATAGTGTAATATTAGAAAAAGTGATTGTTCCAAAACACTATTTTTATACTCCATTTGTTTAGGTACTTAATAAAATGTAAACAATCTTGAGATGTCTTATTTTAATGAAATATACATTTATAAGAATATTTTTACTTACCTTCAAATACAATATACAAATTCTTAGCGCCATAGGAAATTGTATGCCTATTTTTATACCTATTGATGGTAAGGCATATATCTTTTATGTATCAAGATTGTTTAAATTTAGTTAAGTACTAAACAAGTTCAAATTATTGAATGTTCTTGTAAACAACGAATTAATGTTGATTGGGAATGAATAAAAAATTGCTATTTCTAATGCTGCACGTTTAGGCATTTTTTTTTAATTCGATGGTCTACTCATAAGCCCATTGAAAAAATATCATTTTTACAACTATAGTAAAACTTCATTATGTCTAATTCAATTCTGTGAACTTGATGTTTTGAGAGCGTTAGTCTTGTCTATATTTAAACTACGTAAGTATCGTATTTCGGCTTAAGAGTAGACTGTCGTGTCGATTTTCATTTTAGATAACCAATACCAAATTAAATAGCACATACAAATAAACAACATACTCTATTCTTATTTCTAGGCGCTCGTGGCTTGGGTCCCTTCGGCTCCTTGGCGGGGTCGAAATGGCAGTCTAGTATCTCGATCAGTTCCTTTATGTCCTCCTCTTTTGCAGACACGTTTAGTTCCGACAACTGCTTCTCCAGCCCTGGCAAGAAGAATTGTTTCTTTATTTATCTACAACCTTAACTTTCAGCCCACAAAATTTTTCTACTTATTTCAATTTCCAACCACCTTAATTTCCTCCCATTCTGAGAAGGTGGTGGTGATGGAAATTAATTTTCATCTGCTTCAATTACTAACTGCTCTTATACATATATAACGTTCGATAGTTGTTGGTTGTGTTTCTATGATGTTAGGAAGAAAATTCTTCTAAGTTAACAAGATCTATTCCCCCTATCTTACAACTATGAGAAGACATTAGAGTCTCTTCTTCCCTTAATTCAACAAGAACTATCGGATTCCTCTCATTTAGTTGAGATATTATACACCCTTATTTTTTTAAGATTGCACACACAACATAGCCCCGCTCTAGGGAAACCCTGTGTCGCGGGTGCCATGGACACCCACATAGACAACCACAAATTACACCAAAATCACGAGAAATAAATTTAGGCCATACAAATATTTCTCCCGGCCCGGGAATCGAACCCGGACCCCGATTCAAAACTCTTCGATATCTTAACCGAATCGTTCGATTAGATATCGGTCTCGAATCGCAGGCCGCTTTCCGAGCTATTCAGAACATTTGAGTTAAAACATTCGATTCGGATTCGGATACAATATCGTTATCCAACAACGTTTACGGAGTTAGTCGGCGAATATCTTAGAGCATTATAGGACGGGAGGCGCTATTAGCGTTATTTTTCGAACAAAACTTTATGCCACTTTTTGAGGCGCGGGGGGGTAGTGCAACAAGCAAACAGATGCACTCAGATGCAAAATTGAATTGTGTCACTATGGTCTAAACAAGTCTACAACACTAGCTTATTTTTACAAATACACATAAGACACACATTCATGCCATGTCCATACACATGTCATGACCATACACAGAATAGGCCTATAAAAATAAATCGATTCTCATGAATATACTAGAGACGGAAAGTTATCGATGTAACGGTGTCGATATGTATTACGTACTGGTTAATGATGTATATGAAAAATGTAATTCCACCCTTGGCTAGACTGGATGTAGTGAATTTCTTTTTCCATTTTTGTGTGTAGTGGACAGTGGTATTGTTTTACTTGTATTTGCCAGAGGAGATTGCCCATTGACTTACCAATAAATGGATGAAAATAAATACAATCCAAAGTCTAATCCAAAAACCGCGAAAAAATTTTTTTTTTTTGTTTCAGTTTACGGCTTTTCGCGGTTAGCGTTGCAGCCAATGACAAGCATGGCCGGAGGTAACCTCTACAAACGTAGTGACATGTATAGAAATATTTAAAAAAACAAACATTTAATTTAAACTGTAAAGCATTGCAGTATTGCTTAATTTTGTTTGCCACAATTTAAAGGGCCAAAAATTATCCATATTCAGCTTCTACCGGAAATAACAAAATGCACCATATTTTAGTTTCTAGTGACAACTACTTGAACACTAGAGTAATGGAGTAGTCTTAATGTCAATAGCAATTAATTTTATAGTATTATGTTGAATTTTCTACGAATTCACTTCAAGTAATAAGAGTTGTGCAGATATATAGGTACATACAAATATTGTAAATGTGAAAATAGCCGTGTCTCTCTGTTGTTAGCTATGACGTGCTGTAAGAAATGTATCGATGATTCGAATTTCTATATTCCAACTAGAAGTTTCATAATCTAAAACCAATTTATAACAAAACCGTTATACTTTCAGGGGATTTTGGTTGCATTACAAAAAAAAGATTAAGTTTTTTGTTTTGTAATATTCCTAAAATAACCTAAAAAAGTACATTTGGGATTACAAAAATTCGAGCAAACATTACTTCGGGCAATGTATTTTCGAACTTCTGATTGATAACTCCAAACAGCAAAACGAATACAACAATATTTTGTTAGTTATTTATTACTAAGATTTAATAAAAAGTCATTTTTAATAAACTCTTTACTTTCTTTGTTCTAAATCTAAATATTTCAATCGCTTGTGGTTCGAAAAATGAAATTGACGTAACGGGTTTTTTCTGTCTTTTGCACATGTCTTGTGTAGGATAAGGACAGTTAGCTATTTGGTTATTTTTTTTATTGCTTTTGTAATTTATGTGTATTGTATGTATGTACTCGTATATGTACTTTTTGTTTTATTTTTTTCTTACAGTACGGCATGATTTATGATGATTTATATTAAACAATTGTAATTTATTTTCATTATTTATAATGTATTACAATATTATTTGATATACAATACTACGGAGAAATCAATTTGAATAAAGTTCGTTATATAATCTGTCTATAAAAATAGGAGCTAAAAGAGCGCGTCGCTTCTCTATAACGAAAAAACAGCGTCCATGAATACTGCATTTTTTGTCCATAGTTGCCTGTTAGTAAATAGGGAACTTCATAGGCATGCTTATGTCAAATGTTCGAATGTTTTCAAATATTTTTTATGTAATCGATAAATTGAATCAATGCGATAATTTGTAAGTCAATGGATAATTGTGAAAAAATGTCATAAAATCATTGACTCACAATTATATGGACGTCGGGTCCGCGCTAAAAAGTGTCCGAACTTATAGGGCGTTAAAATCGTATACAGAGCGTCATTCAGCTTAGTCTTCGTTTGTTCGACTTACAGCGAAGCAAGCAAAATTAGACAGTACTGCGATGACATTACAATTTAAATTCAACGTTTTAGCTTTTTCATATTTCTTTACATGTCACTACGTTTAAATAGGTTGACTTGGGACATTTTTTTCGTGATTAATGTATTAGACCCGTCGTACATTTATTTGTAAGTCAATGCATAAAATAGAAATTAGCAATTAATGTAAAAAATAGGCTTATGTATGGAATGTAATTCCATCCTTGGCTAGACTGGATGCAGCAGAGATTTTTTCGCAAGTTTGTATAGCGCAAGACAACATATTTCGTGGAGTACTTGACGCGGTGAATTCGATAATGGATCGAGAATGGAATTGAAAAAACATCCATTTGAAACTAGTGTTTATTGTGCGATAGTTGTTTTGTGCTAGTACCTTGACAGAGGGGATTGCCTATCGATGACGCCTCCAGTCTTATATGCTCTAATGCGAATATAGATTAAATTTAATACTTTTATATACATTTTTAAGACTTTAAAGGCCTAAAATATAGGAATGCATTAGTCTCGCATTAAAATAAATTAATAAAATTGAACAAAATCCAGATTTTAATTAAAATATAATAATAAAAGATTTCCATATTACCTTTTTGCTTTGTAAACAATAGGACGTTCGGTAACTTTCATTCGATAACTGTGTTCTTAATAACGTTTGTAGCCTTTGCCGGTCGAGAAGTATGAGTAATCGTACGGGTGTGACGTCATTTCGGTTCGGTTATTGTGAATAAAAATGAAAAGAAATCGTACGACATCGAATCGAATTTGTCAATAACAGAGTTATCGTAAGGTTCTGAATGGACCTGCTGGGACCTCTCGGTGGCAGTCATAGTAACCATTCGGCCATAGAGGCCTGTTACCTTAAAAGTTTATTAATCTAGCAATTTGCATTTGGATATTTGAGTTTCACCCTGCACCTTGTAACTAAAAGATAGTATATGGCTTTGGTGTAGATAAGTCTAGATTAAGATATGAATAAAAAATGCTGTCATTAAAGCATTATCGAGCAGATGTTGCTAAGGACAGAAGAACATATGCCGCATTGCTCGATTGAAGCATGTTTGTAGCGAACCCATTAAAAGCATTTATTTTGAAATTTTAAAATTAGATACATTACCAAGTACAGGGTCAATAGCACGACAAGGCAAATCCAACTCTATACCGCTAACGATAAGTAAAATGTGCTCTTAACTGTAGACATATAAAAATCTTGATATTTAGGAAAGGAAACGATTTTTCCCATTTAAATCGCGTATATTTGTTTTTTCAAAGAAACCGACGTTTCGGGCCCTTTACAGGTCCCATGGTCACGGTTGACTGAGGTGGTACAGTCTTCAAGCAGTTATGTCTAATATTAATGCAAACCACCCTATTTTTTCACTATAGTTACAATAGTTATTAATTAAATACCTTATTTTTAATTTTACAAAGTAAACATTCCAATTTACGCTACATTCAGTTTTTAAGAAATTATTTTATTGAATTTTTATTAAGTCCAATTTATTATTAATTAATAATAGAAATTAGAATAAACAAAACATATTAACTAGTACTGCAGTCTTATGGCTGTTTGGGATTTTTCATTAAACAGACACACGATTGCAGTACTAATTAATTTGCATGGCGACGACCGGCTGCATGAGGACAACTCCAACTGCGGCCCTCGAAGCGATGCTGGACCTGCGACCCCTCCCACTATTCATCGGACAGGAAGCGGCATCAACAGCAGTGCGTCTAAACAAAGCCGACCTTTGGAAGCACATGAGGACCCCACATACAGAAATCCTTTATAAAACTGCCAATGAGGAACCGCTACTGGAGGCGGTTGTGGATAGGATCCCAAAACAATACATCTTTCACAAAAAATACAAGACACAATTGTTTGAAGATCCCAACGAAGAACTGAACTGATGGATCTAAAACAAATTCAGGAACAGGTACTGGGATATTCTCAGAAGATCTCAATATCAGGATATCAACACCGCTTGGTGACCACAACACAGTATTCCAGGCTGAATGCATGGGCATCAAGTTGGCGGCAGAAGCAATCATAGCGAGAAGAGTAAAGAATTTACTCCATTCGAATACTCTCCGACAGTATGTCAGTACTTCAAGCACTGAACAGCTACGACATAAACTCAGGGCTCATTTACGAATGCCATCACTTCATCACTCATGGAGGTATGTATACAAAACCATGTAACTCTACAGTGGATAAAAAAAACACAGCGGCTCACGTGGCAATGACGCAGCAGATGAACTAGCCAGAAAAGCGTCGGAGACGGACGCTGTAGGACCAGAACGCAGTGTCCCTCCCCTATCAATGGTCCAGAACAACTATACACAAAGGTACAAAATCTTCACATAATAATACATGGACCACCTTCACGGTTTGTAGACTGGCGAGAGAAGCACACCCAACGTTCAATGCCAGTCTATCTCGAATATTAATTAAACTTAAAAGGCAAGAGCTTCGCACTCTAACTGCCGCCTTTATCGGGTCATGGTCCATACAATAAACACCTTTTCAATTTAGGTATCACAGACAGCCCTCTATGCAGAGCGTGTATGGAGGGGGAGGAAACGGCTGCGCACATCCTACTCCAGTGCTCCGACGTGGCCAACTACAGGGCGAAGTACCTTGGAGTACCAAGGTCTCTCCCCGAAGTCTTCAACAAACCGAGGAGGCTGCTGAGATTCCTGGAGGAGCTTGAGTGGCACGAGTAGGACCCTGAACACACCACACGCAAAATAGGCGCCTTGTCGTCGAGTTGCGGATACCAGCCCGTTGCACCAAGTAAATCCGGAAAAATAGTTTCATTTCCTACGTGTAACAATCGCGAAAACCTAAGAAATCTTGATATTGTTTTGTTAAAAATGAAATTAAAACCGTTTATTATAGGAGAACAGAGCTTTTATACGAGGCACACAGCACTGACGTAACCTTGTATAGTCCTAATTTATTAGCTGTCGTCCCACTTCTACTACGGAACCTAATAAATATATCGTCGGTGTTTTGGAAAGTGGAACTTCGAAAAGTTTTTCAAGAGAGTATGCCTTAGGTTTTTCTTCTTTTAGGCCTGTAATACTTGCGTGTCAATGTCGGCCTTGTGATATCAATCCCTGTGTATTATTCTACTCTATCGTGTCGCCTCGTAATACAGGGAAGATCTCACATATGAACTCTATCGTGTCGCCTCGTAGTACAGGGAAGATCTCACATATGAGTACAGAGTTTTAGCCTTCTTCATCAACGGGTCACCCAACATAACCCAACCGGCCAAATATCCCCTAACTGAAATTGATTTCTTAGACCCACATAATGGCCACATCCCATTAAACATAGCATATATTTAAGTTTGTTACAGAATTTGCATAGTCGAGCTTCCGCTCTTTTTATTAGATGATAGAACTTATTTAAGGGAAGGTGGCCAGTACGAAGTCTAAAAGCCTTCTATAAAAATTCTAAAACCTTCTATACATATATTTTACATATAACTGTCTCCGTGGCCGAACAGTTACCGTGCCGGACTGCCACGCAGAGGTCCAAGGTTCGATTCCCGGACCAGGGGAAATATTTGTGTGGCCTAATTTTATTTCTCCCGTGAGTTTGGGTGTAATTTGTGGTTATCTACGTGTGTGTCCATGGCACCTGCGACACAGGGTTTTCCTAGTGCGGGGCTATATTGAGTATGTGCGTTATTATTACCTTCGAGCTTGTGATCCTGCCAGGTGGCCTTGAGCTGGTCGTAGAGCAGCCCCGCGTCGGCCAGCAGGCGGCGCAATTGCGTGACGCGCTTGCGCTCGGGCCGCGCCGAGCGCAGCAGCGGTGCGAACACGGGCCGGAACGTGTTCTGCCGCTCCAGCAGTTTCTTGAGGCTGGCCAGCTCCTCCAGCTCCGTGGCCACGGGCCGCGCCCACAGCCGCGCCGTCTCCACCACGTGCGCGTGCGCCGCGCCCGACCCGCCCTCGCCGCCCGCGCCCACCTCCTGCTGCTCGCCTGTCACGATGATCGAAGTTTTAGAGTGGTTACACACGACTACATCGATACAGTCGCTTATGTAATTATGTACGAAAAGTCTGTTTACGTTTATGCACATTATTTTGTTCTGTTCATTGCAAATTTATAATTGAAATTAATAAATACATTAAATAAACAATTTAGTTAATTAATTTAAAAAGTGCATCGCATTTGTATCGCGTTTGCATCGCTGCTTAATGTAGCGCGCGTGTAAAGGTAGACGATTAGCGACTGCATCGCTACTGCATCACGTTTGAATCGCGTTTACATCGCAGCTAAAAGTCGCCGTGTGCAACCGCTCTTAGGATTATTGCTAGTGTCTTACAATTTGAAACAACTTTTCGTTTCAAAACATATTAATAATGATTAATTTACTTGACTGATATAATCCTCGAGAAAGATTATGCTGTCGTATGTTTCATAAACGAGCTATTATAATTATTACTAAAAACACCTAAAGTAGAATTTCTCTAAGTCTGCAGTAACGAACGGTCGACACTTACCAATGGCCTCCTAGTTTGAGACCAGATAATTGGCGTGGTTGTTTGGCACATTATTATTTACACTTCAAGGAGGACACAATTATATTTATGTCTGTTATAAATATGTCATTTTAATCCCACAATATTATTCAGTAGTGTGCTGGGAACTAAGATGAAATAAGAGCTATTTTAGTATTTTTTAGTTTTTTTGTGTTGGAGTAATGTGACAATAAACTGAGGAAAAATATTTTTTTTTTATATTTCAAATTCATAAAACTACCTTTTTTACCTACCATTCTTATACAACAGACCACAGAATGAAACTCACCCTGAGCTAGATGCTCCACGATCTTATAGGCAGCAGTAGCTCGGTCCAACGCAGAATCAACGGCCAACGAATCTGCATCCAACAGTACGCGGGCCAAAACACGGAGCGACACGGATTTAACTGTCGCACGGCACTTGTCTGCGGCCAGCGCATAGCTGTCTGCAAACCCGGCTACAATCGACTTGAACCGGTCCAGAAGCTTATACCTGTGTAAAACATAAATATATATTGAATGTTATAGAATTACGCCAATTACAAAAGATATCTAGTGCTGTAACTGTGAAATAATGAAATACAGTCTGAAATTAACAACGAAAGTTCAAATTATAAACGGCCCATTCACTATCTGCATGGCAGTCCGCCGCGCAGGCAGGAACTAATGACTAAACCATACTAATGGCCCACGTTTGCAGTATCCCAGGACACATTGCAGGCTTGCAGGATGGGTTGCACGCTGCGACTATATTCATAATCCTGCATTACGCGCAGCAGATGGCAAGGCGTTATTATGAAGTTAATAACGCCTTGCCATCTGCCGCGCGTAATGCAATCGAGATCTCGGCTGCATGGGTTCATTGAGTTGATTACGACTTCTCGCATTAACTGAAAACATGCAGTCATCTACATCATCTGTTAGCAGCCCAAGAGTTCGTCCGCAGAAGTACTACCACCTTACGTATTTCTGCCGCCATGTGAGCATTACTGGGGTGAAATTGCAAGCACATGAGACTTGTCAACTAGTCTCAGGGTGACGGGAGCATTGGCAGTGCCCATCGAGTATATAACCAGAAATAAGAGACGAAATGTCATTTAATTTGTTTGAAAACTATTCTGTCATATTACTGCGCTCCGATTGGCCAGCCCGAGTTCGAAACAATTGACGGGTGTCGTCAATGGGTGTCGTCAACTGTTTCACTTCAAATCGACCAGTTAACTTGAGCTTTGGTATAATGGACGAAAATTGCAAAATTACATATTTAATATTTAATTACTGATGAAATGTGATTTCGTTTGTTTTGTAATTAGATGTTTTGCTGTTTTTCCCATACCACCGAATAGAACAGTACGGCATTGTTAGAGATATTATCTTTATTACAATAAATATTGAATATTTTTTGGAATATACGGAGACGTACACACAGGTCAGTAGTTGGCCTGTCTATATTTCAGTGCAAACGAGAGTTGATATTTATAAGAGCTGTATCGCTAATGTGTTACCAGGAATATATGGCCCTTATTTCGTCTCTATTTCTGGTTACAATCTCGATGGCAGTGCCCCTCTGCTAAAGCTCTGAGTGGCACGGCAACTGTCATGGACAGGTGCGTCGCTTACCATCAGCCCACGACTTATTGGTCCCTTCACTTAGTATAAAAAAAATCCAAACATAGACGAGCGTTTCGGTAATTTATGGTATATGAAATTTAAACTTTGACTTCAGATTGACGTCCAAGTTGGTTAGGCCCGTGGAATCGGACATATAACGACCACAATACTTCTCATTAACATTACTAATTTGATGCTATGTCACAAGACACATTAGAAAACTAACAAGAATTGTATCGCTACTTCGACAATAGGCAACGCCTCTGCTAAGTCAGTGTAACGACGCGTTCCCATTTATGTCGTAACGTTTTGAACGACTGTCGCGTCTAGCCTGTTCCCATATCACGACTATCTGTCGTGGCTGTGCCGTGGACGTTTATTTTATCGTTGAACGATTGTCGTGTCTAACTGTTCCGATCTAAACCAAAATAGTATACTATTTCGTTGTATTGCACAACTGCATTCTGAATGTGTTAAATTTTGTTTAATTTTTTAAATTTTAGTGTGTTATAAGACTACTGAGTCTTTCATTGGTTAAAATAATTACGTTACAACAATGGCGGCCCTGGCAATGGTATACGTTTAGTCAGTATTGCACACCAGATAGAACTCAATTTACTCTTCAACTCAATCAACTCTTTTAAATCGTCTTCTAAATCAATTGGGTGTTTTTGAGATAGATCTTTATTCTAGGAAACCATTGAATTGTGTATTTAAAAGTGGTGATCTTGCTGAAGAAGAGAACCACATTTCACGAATATTTTGGATGAATAGCCTGCCGAAGTATCCTGAAGGCTGCTGAGGCATTCCAGATTTGAATATCTACGACCCTTATAAGTGAAATTTTAATCATAACATTAAGGTATATTACACGTCGTGATCTAAATATGTTTTATTATAATATATAGTAATGAGCTCACCTGGTGAGGGCCTCCAACAGCATAGTGGGGCTAAGACGACGCGGTTCGTGATAGATGAGGATTACGCTTCCGTCGCCCTTTTCTTTCTCCAGCCAATCCAAAAAGTCGGATAGTGCGGATATTTCAGACTTTGTTTTCAATATCTGAAACAAGCGTTACTTTAAATTATACACTAATCGGCACACTTAGTGGAATACTAATAAAAATCCCCAAAATAAAGTCCCCCATCCACAATGTTGTTGTTGTCTGGGTGAATTTCGTAAACATTACTTTGATAAAGTTTTGTATTCGTGAAATTTTAATTTAATCAATGTTCAGGTTTTTTTTAAATTTTTTGAATTAAAAAAAATGCTGTGTGTATAAAAAATCTAATAATTCTTTACTTAAATATAAACGTTACTATTTCATGATCTCACTTTGTTTTTGTTCCGGACCAGATAGGATTCAAATCTGAAAGATATCTGGGAACTATGTGACATGCAGCACTCCTTACATATTTTAACAAATACAGGATCTTACAAGGGTTCAAACCCGGAACCCATGGTTGTATTGGTGTCTTGTTGCTTACCTTATGAGTATTAGTATCTTTGAGCATGCGGTATCGTCCGACGGTGACAACACGCACGTTGTGACGACGACGAGCACCAGGGTTCAGGTCCCCGTAAGGCATTATGTACTGCGAGTACGTCTGCTTCGGCGTGTACGCAGCTATTTGACAGATCTGTTACAATTATTATTAGGTCATTATTAGAATGGACATAATGTCAGTTTTAGTAAGGACAAAGGATAATCCTGCGAACGCGTCCCATACAAATGAAGTCCCATCCCACTGCTGGGCACGAATCTCCTCTCAGGCGAGGATTTTGGCCATAGTCCGCCACCCTGCCCAATGCAGGTTGAGAGGACTTCATACGTTTTCCCACAGTTGTGAACCTTCTTCAATCAGCAGGTTTCATCTCACATTGTTTGAACCTTCACCAAAAAGCTGATGGTAAATTGCGAATTCTTCTCCAATTTTGCGATTTGCGATTTGCTATTCAAAATCAGCTAATTTCGCCAGACATGATCTAAAAACTAATCTCTATAATCGTGGTTTGTCAATTAAAAAAAAATATTATTTTCGAAATTATACGAACTCGAAAAGTCATAACTTTTCACGAAAAAGTTGCAAAAGCAATATTGAATATAAAATAAGCAAGCTACTACAGTTTTTAACAGACTTCAAAAAAAGAAGGTGGTTCTCAATTCGACTGTACCTTTTTTTATGTATGTTACGCGATATATCGGATATATTTGTGAACTGATTTTGACGATTCTTTTTTTGTTGGACAGAAGTAAATCAGTACTGGTCCGATTTAAAATTTAAATTTGAAGAAAACATTCCATCTTAAGGGTAGCAAACTAGGGGATGAATCCGCGCACTTTTCGGTAACCGATTGGATTATTGCATTATAACTTGGTAAATAGATCGGCTTTTTTAGTACTCTGTACTAAGAAATTATTGAAATATGATGACATGATCCTAGAAACAAATTATTAATTCTATATTTGAAGATCTCTCTGGTTGAGTCACTTCAAGATGACGCCATTTCTGAAGTCCCGGGTTCGATCCCCAGCCAGATCAATGCAAAAAAAAAACTAACTTTTCTAATATTGTTCTGGGTCTGGGTGTTTGTAGTATCGTCGTTGTTTCCGATTTCCATAACGCAAGTGCTTTAGTTAGTTTGGGATCAGAGCAACGCGATGCTGCCTAATATTTATTTATTCCTTAATGTATATTAAGATACATCTACTACATTGTTTAAATGAATATCAAACTACGTACGTCGTACGTATGTAAGTCGGGCATAAGACAAAAAACCTCTCATTGTAATTTTCGTGTGGACATTTTAGCATGATATATCGTAAGTTTGAATATGGGCGAAGAAACATTTTTTGAAATTTATGAAATGGACCATATAATTCCTAGGATAAATAGGTATTATTGGAATTCTACTGCAATATTGGAGTTCAACTGCATTTGCCAAAGTTGCTTGGAAAAAGGTGGATTTCTCTGCAAAAATGATATTATGGTAGACATAGTTACAGATATGTGGTGACGGTGAATGTTTACCTCGTCAATAAGCCGACGGCCCGTGGTATCCATGTCCCAGCCGACGAGTGCGTACTTGCCAGGTGGAAGACCGGCGGGCTTCTCCGCCAGGGCCGGAGGGAGCTCCGTACTTTGCTCCATCTCGCTGCCGTTCACCTTTGCTTCTGACACCATTGCCATTAACACACACACCTGACAAAACATTAAAATATCTTAAAACGTGAATGTACACTTAGGTACAATTTTCAACAGACAATTTAGCCCAAACACGAAATAATGCCTACATTTCAACGTGAAAAGCCGCAAGTGACTTTGTCAGCGTGTGTAGTATCATGAGATGTTATCAGTATTTGTTAATGACCCTAAGTCAAACTGTCAACACAGCTCTAGTTATTTCAGTCATTCTAGGTAATACATTGTTAAAAGGTATAGCTCGCACAATATGAAATTCTCTCACTTAAATTCCATTTCCACTGTCGTGTTTCCAAGCAAATAAAATTCGTTAGTCATATTATGTGTGAGTGCGCAACAGCACACACACACGATGCACATTAGGGATAGCGATACCCATTGAATGTGACTTTTCTCCCATAAACAGCACACGCTCAAAAACTTACTTTTTGATTTGAAAATTTAAAATTAGTATATTTTCGTAATTGAGGAAAGACCCTAACAAAGTATATTAATTTCTATTAATAGGTAACGTATATTTGCACAAGCAAAACTATTAACTAACATCGCAGACATTGACGCCAGAATGTTAAAAGGCTTTAATGAAAACTAGACTAAACTAATTTAAATACTGCCATGGTGAGTATTTTTTGTCTACCAGTACCTAGAGGTATCGTCATGATAGCCTTCCAGATTATCAATCTCAAAACAATTTTATCGCAATAAGAACCAGATAAATTAAACGTTAAATGTTAAGAAAACGGCTTCGCAATCGATATGGGCATTACCGTGCATGTTTGCAGTGCTAGAGAAAGAGGGATTTCCCTCAAATATCACATTGACAATGTTAATTAATTTATATATATTCTTCCGTCTGGTAGCATATTAGCTAGCGTTCAAATAGTATACTCAGTAGTATTAAGTAGGTAAAATAAAAAAATAAGATAAAAAAAGCGTGACATCTTTGACTATAAGTCAGCAAAATACCTAACTAAACAATCCATAGGGCTAGATCCATTGGGTGTAGCACCCTTTCCATTATGATTATAACCAACAAGACCGATTACTGGATAAAGTAGATAAGTTGGTTAAACAACTGGTTTTTTGGTTCCCTGAGATGGTGACATTTTTAGTATATATTATATATAAAAAAGTCAATGTTATTGGCAGAAGAAATACTTTTGACGGTGACGTGCGTAGTATTTAGGTATTGAAACCCATGCTTCTGATACCTAAGAAAGTTCTAAGTTAAAGTTTAATTCTCGTTTGCCTTAACTTTTGCAGGGTATCTATGAAATTTGAGCCAAAAGTAATGAAAGGAGTTTATTTGGATTTGTAACAATAACTTGTTCTAGAATTTTGCATGCATTTTAAATTTTGTAATTCTGTACATTTCAATTCCTACAACCGTGCATTGTACTAGTTTTGTACATGAATAAATATAATTTTTCAAATATTCAAAAGTGGTTTCACCAATGGCCATGAGTTTAAGCATCGGCTTCTTAAACAAGCTGTACACATACATTCGATGAGTAATTAAACAACCACTGTAAACTCAACTAATTTCGTCAAAGCAAACACACTGTACAATAAATTAAAATTACAAATGAAGAATGTCAATTTCCAAGTACATTATAAGTTTAATATTTACTAATTTACTTTGTTAACTGTTCAAACTAAATGTATAATTTATCTATTGTGTAAATTGTGACACAGTGGTATGTACTGGCAATAGTTGTAGGTCCTTGATAATTGTTTACAATCTGTTTAGCTCATAACTTTTCTTTGTTTTAGCTTGGTACAATCAAGCTTAGAATATAGAATGAAAGGATGATGGCTTAGACATATCACAATGAACGATTGAAGCTTGGTGAAGATCAACCTTGGAGGATATAACTGTACCAAATTAAGTATGTCCTCAAAGAAGGCCCGATTATAAGTACAGAGAGTGAAAGGATTGATGCAAATTAAGGAAACAAAACTATCTGTGTTAATAACACAGATAGTTACACAACAACATAACAAAAGTAGCAAATGCATGTCTATGGTCTTCATCTACCATAGAACAGTACAGGCATGATAATACTGTAATATACATGGCGTGCAAAAGAGGAGGCCTGTACCCAGCATTGGGTGTTAGTGGGCTGAGATGAACCGAAATAAATAAAATCGTAAAAAGTATTCACAGAATCATATAATTTCCTAATACATGTTGGTGGTAGGCCAAGTCTACCATATTGTCAGGAAACCGTGAATAAGTTGAGTCCATTGCCTACCTAATTCAAGCAGTAAATAGCTTCATTTCAACAGCTAACTATGAAACTTTAAGATATACTCCCAAACACATGGTTTAAGCTACTATGCATTTTCAGTATTGTACACCCAAGCCTAAACAATGTTTGATTGATAAACTAAACATCATTTCTGTAACACCTTAGGAAATGAAACTATTTTTCCAGATTTAAATCACATAGTACATTTGTTTTTTCAAACCAAACACGGTTTCGGGCCCTTTACAGGTCCCATGGTCATGGTTGACTGACACATTGGTTTGTTAGAATAAACAGATGCAATTTAAACCGGAAAAACAGGTTAATTTCCTATGTGCAACAATCGCGAAAGCCTAAGAACTAGATCCATAAGTTCTTGTTGAAAAGTTGAATTTGTAAAACTGGGAAAATCTTTTCTTTGATGATAACAATATTTTTGTGTTCTAGCCCTTTAACAGTAAAACTACAATATACAGTGGCCCATGTGTCCGGGACTGCATTATATGGCGTGATACCACCCTAACCTAAGGAGGTGAGTGGATTAACAGGCAAGAATATCTGTTTTAATGTCTATCAAACCTATAAATTCACAATTATTGCTTAATGATCACTATCTCTGTATAGACTTTTAATAAAGCAAAATATAGAGTCCAAAGAAGAAAGGAAAGATATCTTTATACTACTAATTATTTACGATATAACTGGACTTATTAATTAGGCTCTTTAATGTTATTTGTAGAATGTATAAACAAAATAAATATTGTTGGATGCATGCATTGACCTACCGCCAAATGGACGTCCAGTTCGCGCTAGTGTCCACACCTTTAGGGCGTTAAAATCGTATACAGAGCGTCAATCGCGCAACAGTCTTCGTTTGTCTGACAGCATGGTTGTCAATCATGCAGTACTATATAATTGTGACATGTAAAAAAAGTACTGCAGTGAAGTATACAAACAGGATTTTGTGTCATATTTTCACTAAACAAATATATTTATTGTGTTATCATTTAAAAGTGTGATTTTTTATTTTTATTTATATTTAAATGAATCGTAAATATAAATTACAAAAGCAAACAAAATAATCAAATAGCTAACTATCCCTTTACACATTGCATGCGCAAAAGATAGAAAGAGACCCATTACATCAATTTCAAGAAGCTTATACAAACTTCTTGGTCGTTTTCAATTGTTCGAACCACAAGTGATTGAAATATTAGGGGTATATATGAAATTGCCGTTTTATTGCAATAGGTTCTTTGAATTTTCATAGAATCTTCATGGTTTGAGGTTTCCGAATGAAACTTTTTTCAAATGGTTTCTGTGATTTTTTTTTTTTAAATTTGAAACATTTGAATATCGACTTTCAATTGTTTTTGTTATTCAATTTAGACAAGAAAGATGGATACTGCGAAAATTCGAGTGATTTTTGAATACGAGTTCCGACGCGGAACTAACGCGGCAGAAACAGCCCGCAATATCAATGCTGCGTTTGGAGAGGGTTCTACTAATGAACGCACCGTGCGATTTTGGTTTAAACGCTTTCGTCATGGAAATTTCGACTTAAAGAACGAGTCACGAGGAAGACCGCCCACACAGGTGAATAACGATGAATTAAGAGAGATAGTGGAAGCCGATCCTAGTCAAACTACCCAGGAATTAGCGGCATGGTTTAACGTTACCTTACCCACAATATTGACTCACTTGCGTCAAATCAATAAAATAAAAAAATACGAAAAATGAGTGCCTCATGATTTGACTGATCTGCAGAAAGAAACGCGTGTTGAAACTTGTGTTGCCTTGTTGACCCGGTACAGAAATGAAGGAATATTGGATCGAATTGTAACATGTGATGAAAAGTGGATTCTTTATGATAACCGGAAAAGAAAAATGCAATGGCTGACCCCAGGTCAAATGCCACAACAGTGTCCTAAAGCAAAACTTACCAATAAAAAGGTAATGGTAACTGTTTGGTGGTCTCAGTATGGTGTTATTCACTATAGTTTTCTCCGATCTGGTCAAGCAATAACGGCAGATGTCTATTGTGCCGAACTCCGAACCATGTTGACGAAACTAGCAGTAAAACAGCCCCGACTCATGAATCGATCTTCACCATTATTGCTCCACGACAACGCGAGACCTCACACAGCACGAGAAACCATTTTGACCCTTCAGGAACTGCAGTTAGAAACCATTCGTCATCCTCCGTATTCACCAGACCTTGCTCCAACGGACTACCATTTTTTTCGTGATTTGGACAATTATCTACGTGACAAGAAGTTTTCTTCCCAGGAGGCAGTACAAAATGCTTTCACACAGTTTGTGCAGTCTTGATCGTCGGAGTTCTATCGCAAAGGCATTAATAACCTTCCCATTAGATGGCAGCAATGTATAGATAATAATGGCAACTATTTTGATTAAATAAATTTGTTAAAAATTTATAAAATAAACAATTTAGATTTTCAGTACAAATCGGCAATTTCATACTTTAACCCCTATTATTTAGAGCACAGAAACTATGAGTCGCTTTGATTTTAATCTTATTTTTAAAATGATTTTTTACAAAACATTAGCAATAACCAACAAAATATTGTTGTACTCATTTTGGCTTGGGATTACCGATCAGAAATCAAAAAATACACTTGCTCGAAATAATGTTAGCTCAAATTCACATAATGTCAAATGTTTTTTTTTTTAGGAATATTACAAAACTAAACCAATTTTGTCTCTGTGAAAACGTAACAGCTTTATTATAAATCAGTTTTCGGAATTATGGATATTTTAGTTTACAATGGAATATTGGTACATTTCTTATAGTACATGCTTATTTTCACATTAAATTTGTAATATTTATTATACGTCTAATCGCGAAAGCTGATACATATGTATCTGTCCAACTCTTTATTTTTTCTTTAAATGAATTTGTACAAAATTCAACACAATATATATATAAAAATTAATTAATATTTACAATAAAGGCTGTTACATTACTCTTGAGTTCAAGTAATTTTCAGTCGAAGCTAAATATGATGCATTTTGTAAATTTTCATTAGAAGTTGAATATGGTGTTTTTGGGCCCTTAAATTGTTGCAAGCCAAATTAAGCAGTACTGCAATGACGTTACAATTTAAATTAAGTGTTTATTTTTTTAATATCATTACATGTCATGTTTGTATAGGTTAACTTTGGACATTTTTTTGTGGTTTTTGTATTAGACCCAATGTCCATTTGTTGGTAAGTCAATGGATGCATGGCAATTTAATTTCAAATTAATTAATTTAAATTTAATTCAAGTTTCAGTAAATAAATCAATACCTCTCGAGTCAATACCGCTATGGTATTTTTATATACAATTTTAAATTGGTATGAACACAGATAAACAAACCCAATCAAATTATTTATCTTCTAAGATAGAAAATTCTAGTTATATAGTCAAGCAAATTAATTTGAATTGCAGTTCAAATATTTATTTGTAATAAGCTCTGTACAATTGCCCTGCAGAACCCTAATGATCACTGATATAATTTTCAATTGTAGTATCAGAAACTGAATTAACTGCTGGGTAGTTCTATCAAGAGGTAATCCTCTCATTCATCTATGTTAAAATACCAAACTAGGAAAAAATTTTAAAATGAGGGTAGATACAAAAGAAAGTTTTTTGTGATCATTTTGAAACATACACTCCTGTAGATAAAAATAACCTCAAAAGCAATATTTTCTACTTGAATGGTATCTCTAAATGTGTAATACCTACATTACGTACACAATCTAATTCGTAAATTAAATGATAATTATAAATTAAGTAAAATACGTAGGTATAAGCTTATCTTATTTCCATGATTACGGATTACCATTACAATGTAGATTATAACAAAAAGAACCACAAAAATACCTACAAGTGATTAACAAGATACAAGTGATTAACAAGATCTGACTTTATACTGCGGCATATAACTAAACTTCCTACCCTGAAACTTACGAGATGCATATCGTAATTGCATCCTAACTAAGCTGCCCTAGTTCGTGCACTTTATCGATCCTTACTGGACTCTTCGCTTTTTGCACCTACACATAATAATGCAATACATCTAACCACGCCGTCAAAATATCAGAAGCCGCCACCGGTCCCATTGAAACCACAAAAACGAAGTGATAAAACCGGTGACTAAAAATAATCGATCAACTAAAAACAAATACAAGAAGCCATGACTGCACTAATAAGATTCACCGGAAATAATTTCAAACCATTTAAATTATCTTATATTTTTTTGCTAATGCTAGATAACCCCTAAATTAGACCGAAATTAAAGAAAAAAATTAGATTTAGGACACGTGGCGGCCTTTTCCACAGACATTTGCCCCACCCCAGCATGTCAAAATAATCAGCACATGATACTTACAAATCTAAACAGAAGATGATGAAATGTTGATAAACAATATTCCTCAGTGGAACTGGCTTCACGATGAACAGGAGACGCTGTAAAGTAAAATAATTATAAAAATATCACAAAATCTCAGCACGTGTGCGGCAAGCCCGCAATAGCGAACGAGTGTTGTACTCTCAGCCGATCAAATTAGTAATAATCGATTTCAAAGGCGAATCGATCCAATCCACTCAGTAATACATATACTAATAAAAAAAACAAATGCTAGATACTTATTTAGTAATTAAAATATTATAATAATAAATAGCTCTAATTTGTACCAATAGTATTCGTTCTGCAGAGTAAATATTCAATAACTTTACTTCCTTGTAATTATCACTTATTTCAAGATCGCTTGCTGAGGCTTGATGTTTTGAAACACGAATTTGTCAAACTAATTTAATAAATAAGGTCATGAATTTCTGTTCTTTTTTCAAAATACTTTTAAAATGTCAGCTTTTGTGAAGTTCTTTTTGTATTTTTCTAGCGAGATAAATTCCTAAATTCTAACCAGTTTGTGCTAGACACTAATGTTTGAACGCATCCAACAATACGTCAATGTCAAAATGCATCGTGCATTCAAAAACTTAATGCAGGATTAAAATTCATAACTCCTAAATTTCTGCTTGTTTTAATTTCTATTTTTATTGAGTACGCATTCACAACAAAACAAGTTAAATAAGATGTTTACAAAACAATGATACTGTTTTACTCCTAATTGTTTTTGTTTACGGATATGTTTATCGTAATATATTTCATGTGCTTTACAAAATACACCAAGTGTTTGAAAGTATCTCAACACGCTTCAGTGATTTTTGGAACGATTTCTTATATTTTGCAATAATTCTTTTAGAAAACCGTCGCAATTTCAATGCAAACATGTCTGAAAGTATAGAACATTATTTAAACCAAATAGCGTCAGCAAGAGCTGAGATAAAAAATTTAAGGTAAAGAGAGAAATTAAGTTTTGTTCGACGTGTTAATGTATGAAGCGCAAAAAAAATTATAGTTTTTATTTACAGACAACAGTTATCCGCACTCAAGTATGAGCATATGAAAGAAATCAAACAGATCAAGTCTACATTGAGTGAACTCCGATGCGGTAACTGTGAGAATGCAGGTAATATAGTTGTAATGTGTTTTGAAGGTATTTGTTATTAGCCAGCTAATATCATTTTGTAGCATTAACGTTCCGTTTTAGCCAAATTTAGCTCTTTTCCGATGATCTAATGTTGCTTTCATAGATATTTTATATAACATTTTATGTACCTACTTTTCTATTCATCAATCACCGTTTGATAATAATAGTGTGCTCATTATAACATTATTTCTAAGAGCAGTATATTTCCTATTGAACTTTAACTAAGTGTAAACACTTACAGCTACAACTCTCATCAATCATAGAAACGACCAACCATCTTCTTCCACATCTGAAGATATAATTATTTACAAACAAATTGGAGTCATAGAGACTACATTTCAGAACAAACGTGGTGTTCCAAGACAGCCATCTGTTATGGCAAAAGCTAAGGGAGTTGTAATTATTGATCCAACAGTGTTTAATAATCCAGAACATGCTCTGAGTGGACTTGAGGAATTTTCACACATGTGGTAAGAAAAAGATTTATGATATGATAACTTACAAACCAGTTGAAATCCGTCTATTATTAAGCTATAATAGCACGACATTACCCACTTGAAGTGAACCAGACAATCTGTAGTACTATATGGTGTGTTGATTTGCATTCTTGCCATAATTAAGAAATTAATATATATTATAAATAATACTAAATCATCTAAAAATATAATAAAATATATTCTGATTAATTGTATCTAGTGAAGTTTTATAAAATTGTACATGGTACTTGGTGCAACGGGCTGGTATCCGCAACTCAACGACAAAGCGCCTATTTTGCGTGTGATGGGTGCAGGGTTCTACTCGTGCCACTCAAGCTCCTCCAGGAATCTCAGCAGCCTCCTCGGTTTGCTGAAGACTTCGGGAAGAGACCTTGGTACTCCAAGGTACTTCGCCCTGTAGTTGGCCACGCCGAAGCACTGGAGTAGGATGTGCGCAGCTGTTTCCTCCCCCTCCATGCACACTCTGCATAGAGGGCTGTCTGTGATACCTAAATTGAAAAGGTGTTTATTGTATGGACCATGATCCGTTAGGGCGGCAGTTAGAGTGCGAAGCTCTTGCCTTTTAAGTTTAATTAATATTCGAGATAGACTGGCATTGAACGTTGGGTGTGCTTCTCTCGCCTGTCTACAAACCGTGAAGGTGGTCCATGTATTATTATGTGAAGATTTTGTACCTTTGTGTATAGTTGTTCTGGACCATTGGCAGGGGAGGGACACTATCGGTTCTGGTCCTACAGCGTCCGTCTCTGACCCTTTCCTGGCTAGTTCATCTGCTGCATCATTGCCACTTGAGTCGCTGTGTCCTTCAATCCACTGAAGAGTTACATGGTTTTGTATACATACCTCCATGAGTGCTTGATGGCATTCGTAAATGAGCCCTGAGTTTGTGTCATAGTTATTCAGTGCTTGAAGTACTGAATTTGTATTTTATAAAATTGTATTTAACAGTGACCCCGAACGGGGCCCAATCAAGCCTGGGAGAGTGCTCGGCTACACAGCATTTCACTGAACAATACATAATCTTTCTTGATTGTTTAGTTACCTTTTTCTTGTTATTATGATTAAAAAATCAATGATTATGTATTGTTATAATTTATTAATTATTTACAATAATTGGGGAACTTGGCTGAAAATATTTGTTTTTTTGTAATTTAAAACTGGCATTTCCGAATTTTATGTTAGGTATCTACTCCAAGGAATTGTCAGAAGTGTCCACCCACCAACACTGCGACTGGATTTGCAAAAATTCGCATGTTGTTGAGAGTTTCGAAATGAAGCTTTCTGAGTTAGCACATTTGACTTCACAAGTTTGAAAGCGGTGACTGTTTTGGCGCGGAATTGTTCGACACTCGGTAATCTTCTCCATGCAAACTAAACATGTCACATCACTCCATTAGTAGCACACTTGCCGTCCATAATCAGAAGGAGCACTACCTTCATAGTAATACAGTTCTGGTGAACACCAAACATCTCTCAAACTATGCAACTAACTGCGCAGCGCATATATTGATGAGGCGTTTGCTTGCATTTGGGAAAGAGAGTAAGAGAGTCGGTCCTCTGTGTGATAGCATGTGCAGTGCAAAAGTTCCATGGCTTTTGACTCAGGTGAATGTGAATCAATGTTTACTGCAACTAAATAAAAATAAGGATTTAGGACATTTTTGCGATTTATTTTTTTACTGATTTGGGACCAATTTCAGATACAGAATAACCTCTGTAAAAATGGCGAGAGTGCAAATCAACACACTATATTTTTTAATATGTATTTACACCTGGTACTTTTAGCGAAACACTACCACCAAAATAATGTTGTTTTTTCAAAAGTCTAGTCAGCAATTTTTGTAATTAATTTTGTTTTAATTTCCTACTAATACAGGGCGTCTACTCTCGATCTCCGTCCAACATCCGTCCGAAACAATTATTTCCAAATAAGCAATACTTGACCAAATGAAAAGACGCGTGATGCGAATGAAGCTTTATACTTGATACTTGTCTTTTAATTTTATCGAATATTACTTATTTGACAGTAATTGTTTCGGACGGATGTCGGACAGAGATCGAGAGTAGTCCCCCAGGCTTAATTTTTCTCCACGTTATTTGGGAATACATTATTTTCATAAAAATATGACATTGTTAGTCACTAAATGTGACTAAAAGATGTGGTATATGTATGAGCAAAGATGTATATGTAGACACTGTAACTGGAGACTCTTGTATTATTTCAGGATAATATTCCATTTTCATGCAACAGAAAGCAACCACGTGCCAGCCAAAGTGGCGCCGCCGCGGCTGGGTGGCGAGAGATGCGGTGTATTCTCGACGCGTTCACCACATAGGCCATGTCCTATTGGACTGTCTCTAGTTAAGATTGAGAGTATTGAAGGTAATATTTTACTTTTTTGTAAGTTTTAATGACTGTTTTGAAATATTTTGATTTTAAAACATAAAATTAAATTTTGGTATTAATTAAGTTTAAACTTCAAAATTTAATTTACAACAAAACGTAAATATTTTAAAACAGTTGTCAAAATCTAAACATGCTCCCTTGATACATTTTTCGAAATTTTGTCGCTTACGCCCTTTCTACAAAACATCAACTATATTGTTTAACTGCCTCTGTGGCCGAACGGTTACCATGCCGGACTGCCACGCAGAGGTCCCAGGTTCGATTCCCGGGCCGGGAGAAATGTTTGTATGGCCTACAATTATTTCTCTCGTGAGTTTGGGTGTAATTTGTGGTTGTCTATATGTGTGTCCATGGCACCCGCGACACAGGGTTTACCTAGTGCGGGGCTATGTTGAGTGTGCGCGTTATTTATTATTATTATTATTTATTATTGTCACTACCAATATTGGTTGTTATGTTATACAGTTCCAATATATCATTTAAGACAAAGACTACAACTTTTACTCGGTCTCTGGTTTATTTGTTATACTAACCTGTCTAATCCCAAACTTTTTTTGGATTGAAGGAATTGTGAAGTACTTTTGATTGTACCAAACACATATTTAATAAACTTAGAATAATGTACTATTTTCACCCAATTGGAGAACAAACTCAACTATTCCAACATAATATGATCCCATTCAAAAAACCATTATTTTTTAAACACTCAGCAGACACTCAATTTGCCAATGGTATTTCTTGGAAAAAAATCTAACTAAATATATATTTAAAAAATCAAAAACTAACTACTTACACTGAGAAAATTGCAGGCGACAGAATACATTTCCTAGGTGTGGATATGGTAAATGGTACACCAGTCCTTGATATCAAACCTTACATACCTCAGTATGACTATCCAACTATGTATGGAGCTACTATGGAAAGACCACCGACTGAAGGAATCAGTGACGCTGCTGATACTATGGCCAGTCTTCAGATTGATGATGATACCTATGACATTAGGAGGTAATTTTCACACTAGCTTTAAGAGGTCTTACGACGACATCATAACTACTTATAATTTTTTTTTCCAGCCTAAGTCCCCGTGTGACTAATCCAATGGGAATTGATACGAACAGGCCTCAACCAATATCACCTTACGACGCCGACCTACCGTCACCCGAACAGCCTAGAAATCTTTTGACCCCAATATCGCCTATCCCTGATATGCCATCAAACGCGGACTTGGTTGATGGTATAACATCTTCATCCATTTCAAGATCTGAAACAGAAAGAGGGGCTCCCGATGGCCAAGAAAGATTCACACCTCCACAGTCCGCCAGAGCTGTTAATATGGTTTATGATGGTATAAGGGTGGCTCCTTGGATATCTAGTCCACCGTCACAGACATACGAAGTCCGATTTACTGATGACGTTAACGATAGACTTGCAGAGTTAATTGGTGACCGTGCTCCAGGATTTAAAGCTAATATACAAAGTTTGCTTTCAGAAGATCCTCGGTCAAACTACGTCAGGTCAAGATACCCAGATCACGAATATAGCTGTGTCTTAGAAGACTTGTCTATAAGTTGTATGTTTGACTTGGATGCTTCAGTCTGTACTATAATTGCAGTCCGTGGTGCTGAAGACATGCAGCAGTAATTAACACTGTTGAAGATATTTTAAAATAATATTTATTATGCAAGGATAAAAATATTTAAAAGCTTTATTCAATTAAAACACCATAGTGAGTATAATATGTATTTTATTTTACGATTAAAATATGTATTTAAACATTTAATATTGTAGGCGTGAATAAAGCATAATGTATTTAATTATTTATTATAATAAAAATGACAAAAAATATACTAACTAAGTACTAAGTACATACACACAAAACAATTCTCTTTCTTTTTTAACCGACTTCAATAAAAAGGAGGTTCTCAATTCGACTGTTTTTTTATGTATGTTATGCGATAACTCTGCGATAAATATTTGTGAACCGATTTTGAAGGTTCTTTTTTGTTGAAAAGAGGGTACCTCCATAGTGGTCCCATTTAATTTTGAAAAAATCCTCCACTACGGGTGGCTGTTCACACATGAAGATTCATTTTTATAAATAGTGCCTAAATTATAATAAGGAGCAATTATTTTAATGGTTGATTTTGCTATTCTCCAATTCAAGGCGTTTTTCTCTCAATATACTTTCATTAGTGAGAACCGAATTTTATTATCATCTGTATCAAGTTCCGTATAGTGGCGAACTAGGGGATGAATCCGGGTTTGCGCACTTTCCGGTAACCGATGACAATAAAACTTGGCAAATAGATGTAATTTTACGTACTTTTGAGGTCGGTTTACATACATTATAAAGGCAATACTGCATTGAAATACTGAAAATGTGATGTAATTGTTGACTGAAATTGTTGTTATATTTATGGTGATTTCTTATGGAATAATATTTGTCTGCCTGATCCGTATTTGCCAACGGAATTCAATACTCTAAGTTCCATGTGTCGGAATTTGGCACCTCCTAGGTCGGCTTCTTTCACATTCTCATTATGTTCCCAAACAATCTCAGTAGACCACGCGCTCCACTCTTTGCCGTTCATGGATATCTTATATTGAACCTTAAGGAACGTGCCATTACCCGCATCGTAGCGAGGATAATACTGCATTTTTTCTATCTCGTAAACGTAACCCAAATCAAAATTCAGTGTTATAAACTTTCCTGTGTTAGGGTCTGCTACGCCTGAGTCATCCCATTTTGTATGCCAAACGCGCAACGAGCTCGTATTGCAGTCAGTTAATTTCCGAATGGAGTGCCCTGGTTCAGTTGGCAGGTTGCATGTCGCCTTTACTCCAATGACAATGTTTGGACTGGCTTTCATACCCATAGCCGAACAGGTTGAACTCCTATAAAACAATATTTGTCTCCCTGCTCCAAATCCAGATACAGATTTCAAAACCTGCCATTCAACAAATTGCATTTTTTGTCCACTGAGTGAAATTATTTTAACTTTGTCATCTTGGTTCCAAATAATTTCGTTAGAGTAAGGAGTCCAATTTTCACCATCAACGGAATATCGGTATTTTATTTTCAGGAAAGTTCCATTTCCAGCATCAGGACGTGGATGATATTCCATCTTTTCTAATTCATAGACATCACCCAAATCAAAATTAAGTTGTATCGTATTACCTTTCGAAGGATCTGCTTGTCTTGGTAAGTTCCAATGAGTGTGCCATATTGATTTCGGGTCGCCATCGGTCAGTTTGCAAATCGCTTGACCAGGCTGGCATGGCACACTGCACGAGGCCAATACCCCTTGCACAACTGATTTGTAGGGATCTTCAATTTCAACTGTAGTGACACTATCACTCCAGTTAGATACTCCTGCTTCATTCACTGAACGAATTTTGAATGTATACTTAGTTTCGTAATCTAAATCTTCAAATGTAAAAGCCTGTCCAGAAATGTTGCTAAATATTACACCATTCCTGTCAATTTCATAATAAGTAGCTTGATCTACTCCGTGCCAAATCAAAGCAACATTCGTTTTCATAGAGAGCGCGGTCAAATTTGACGGTGCGTCTAAAGATTCGATCACTTTCGTGTTACTTCCAAAGACTTTACCTCTGTTTGTGTAGCCTTTAATTTTTATCTGAATGTCGCTTGTAGTGACATCTATTTTATTGATTTTAATCTTCAAGAATTTTTGATTATGAGCCATACCACAAACATTTTGCAGGTATGGGTTTACAACGAAATCAGTCTTGTAATAAAACATATTTTCTCCGCTCGCAAAGTCGTCGTCTGTGATAACTCGAGACATGTCCACTGCATCTCCATTAATTGCTACCTTGACGCCTTCTACGTCTTCTGATGCTATTATCTGTATCAAAGTACTTCTTTCCTTCGTTATGTTATTGTAAGAACCATTGGTTTTCTGAATAGACACGAACAGGTCTCCAACTTCTTGGGAGGCGCCACCAATAACTTCAATCTTTGTTGTAGCAAAATGTCCATCCAAATAACCAATAGAGAAGCCGTCATCTTCGTATAATTCGAAACTCGTTTCAAGAGTCGGGTAAATGTTGAAGATCCTTTCGTTCCTCTTTATTTCGTAGGGGTTGTTATTAGGATTCGTCATAGGGATAATAGACCCTTCTCTGATGAAAACTGGAATTTTCCACAACGGCATTTTTAGGTCATTTAGAATTTTGCCACCTTGATATTTTTCCCCGGTAAAGAAATCAATCCACACTTGATCCGGATCGGGCAAATAAACACCATCTCTGACGGAAGCATCCATTACTCCTTTTTGTTTGTAAACTGGAGCAACTAAGATGCTCGGACCCCACATAAATTGATATTTGGAATCGTTCGTATATGCTGGTATTTCTTCTGGAAACTCCAAGAACATCGCTCTTATCATGGGCAAACCGAGTGTTGATTCATGCCCAATAGTGTAGTTGTAAGGCATCATCATTGATTTCAGTTTCAAATAAGCTCTGTTGATGGCGGTAGCTTCATCATCAAAACTAAATGGAGTTTTTTGGAGATTTCCCCATCCATCCATATTCAGCTGCAATGGCGTGAACGTCTTCCACTGGAAATCTCTAATATTTACTTCTCTGCTTTTGCCTCCGTAAATGCCATCCATATCTGAGCCTATCAAAGGCACACCCGATAGTCCAGAGCCAACGTAAGTAGGAATATGAAAGCGTATATATTCCCATTCTCCCCCGACTTGGTCTCCACTCCAAATGCCAGAATATCTTTGAGTTCCAGCCCAGCCATCAACCATTATTATCATGGGTCTATGCTTTGTTGTCTTCGTAAACATATTATAAGCAGTTTCCACTGCATTTAAACCAAAGGAGTAGCCCTCTCCAATCCAGGCTACGTCACATTTCAGTGCTACTACTCCGGCTTTGCTAATTTCTTTCTTCAAATCGCGTTCTCCTTTCTTAGGGTTTAATGGATCTTCCGGTTCTAATTGAGACTCAGTCCATAAAGCTATTTCTACTCCGTGCTCCCTTGCATAGTCTCCAAATTCTTTAAGGTTTTGAATATCACCGTCCAAAGAATCCGTTTGCCCATATCCCGAACCATAGCCATCGTTGGGAAGAAACCAGCCCAAAGGAAGATCATGATTTTTATATCTGTCTACCATAGCTCTAGCAGAAAACTGATAATTATTATTTTCTCCATTCAATGATTCTAAAATTCCATCTTTGTCCCCAATTTCCTTGGGTTGGTATTTCTTGTAATAGAATCCATCTTCAAATAGTCTGGCTCCTTTTGTATCAGGAGTAACTTTCACCCAATAATCGCGATTGAAAGTATTTAAGTGTGCTTCGTAAAAGGCAAATTCTGGCATGCAGAGAGGTCGGCCCGTGAGCTCAAAATAATCGTTTAACAAGTCCTTCGGCAAGGGATTAATGAAATAGAATGCATCAAAGTCTTCCGTTTCGTGGGCAGTTTTAACGATCTCAGGATATTGGGATCCGAAGTCATATTTACCATCCTGCCAGGTATTTCTTAGTATGCCGTAACCTTTTGATGACCAATAAAAAGGACAGGGAGAAGTAATACCACCGTCCACCCAGTTGTTCGTATTTTTTATGTGAATAATTTGGCCTTTATGGGTGAACCTCCCATTTTGCATCCCACCACCAAAGAAATGCTCGTGCTTCTGTTGTTCAAGCACTTGTTTACTTTTAGAATTGGAGTAAGTTAGCGATTTTGCTTCGACCAGCACCATTTTGTTGGTTCTCTTATCAAATACGGACATTTTACCATCGACCGCACTAAATACGATGTCGATTTTATGTACATGGATTTTGAACTGTTGTTCGTCTTCAGACACATGCGACTTATCGAATGGTTCCTTGTTGTAGTCGCTAACTCTCTTAGAGTTAATTTTCGCAACTTCGTTAGGATTGCGTGGTTCCGGATATTCAGGGAATTTTTTGTTAGGGTCCATGTGATATCTAAAGACATGGTTGTTCAGTATATACAACCTGGCTTGCGCACCACTTTTATACTCGATCACATAATAGGTGGCCGTTTTCTCGACACTCGTAACTCCTCCGACAGTCTCTTCATGGCCCATTGTAGGTATGAAATGAATCTGGAACAAAAATTTAATTAGGCCTATGTTTATAACCATTGTAATCATACCAGCTGCAACTTGGCAATAACTTTAGCAGGGCATTGTTGCATTGTTTATTATAGGAAATACAAGATTCTTTGTCGTGTCGGTTTATGCAGGCGTAAAAAGTTTTGGTCAAAGTTCAGCATTTGGTCAAAGATCATACTCGTTATAACAAATAATTTTTTGCAAAAAAATAATAAATTTAATTGGGGACACAAAGAATTGAATTCCCCATACAAACTTTCGGCTGACCGCCCATGTCTAAACATAAGAAAAAATTTTGGTAGCCCATAGGTACTAATACCTATGGGCTACCAAAATTTTTTCCCAATTTGAATTTCTTTGCTAAAGTTTCTTGTTGTTTAGCTAGCTGAAGTACAATATACCTCGATATATCACGACATACAATTTTTCATGATTTAAGAAATAAAATAATTTTGATTTTAGTCTTGATAGAAGGTAAGTTTTCAAAGCAATTTTATGAGTAGGTACGTTCGCGGTTTCAATTTTAACGACTACAATTTAATTACCGCTTACCTCACACAACGCGGTTGCTGGTAATTTAATATTATAAATGTTCACACAATGCTTATGGAGCACAGCAAACTGATGAATGTGCTGTATGTATGCCTTGTTCATGTATTTATATTATTTTTTAGTTCTCTTATCGTACTGTATAAATAGGCCGGCATGTCATTCGTTGATAAAAGATTTTCAAATAAACACAGGTTTAAATGAATTGACGCAACTGTATCAAATCAGATTCATTGTTGTATACACTCTACCTATATAGAGTGTTTAAAAAATGAACAAAGGAATAAATATTCCCTGACTAATCGACGCTATATATACCTATAGCGGTTTTTTATATCTTATTTAATTTTACTTTTATTGTTAAAGCAAAGTCAACATAATTGACATTAAAAAAAAAGAATTTTAGGTGTCAGTATCTCTAAAGTTACTAAAATGCGAAAGGCGCGTTCCCATAACGTAGTAACGTTTTATTTATCGTTGGACGACTGTCGCGTCTAGCATGTTCACATATCACGACTATCTGTTGTGACTGTGTCGTGGACGTTTATTTTATCCTTGAACGATTGTCTTGTCAATTTATCGGTTCACGGCAGCCGCCTTGTCGTTTGAGCGACAGAATCGTTTGAAGCTGCGATTCACATTTTTATCGTCACTTTTTATTTATCGTCTGACGACTGTCGTTCTAGCTCTTCCCATTGTCACGACCAGTCATCGTAACGTCTAAAAAGTCATGAACGATAGTTAATCGTGTTGCAATATATGTGAACAATTTCATTTAAATATACAAGCTACGACACTTTAACTGTACGACTATCTGTCGTCACGACATAATGGGAACGCGCTCTGAGTTATGACAAGGGTAAAAATGTTTAATACGGAAATCGAATCGCCCCGACAAACCGAAAGAAATGAAGTAGGTATGTTTAAAAATATTACGTTAATGAAATTCTTCGCTTATTATCAACCACACATTTGTTGACTCTTCACGCTTAGACCTACGCGGTAGAAAGATGGTATAACTTTCAATCACCTAAATATTTTTTTTTAAAGGTCGAATAAGTATTACAAGGCGGTTACACTCTTATTATTTTATCAATATTTATAGGAAACGAAAATCAATTATCAATATTTAATTTATTAGTACCTACATTGTTACTTCATATCCCCATCGGTGGTCACTGACACTCACTTGAGTTGAAAAGTACATTATTACCAACCCACCACTTGCTTGTATTTATCGATAGTGAAGTAATAGGCGGCGAAATCAAAGGGAACAATTTCGTAACGCGTGAACGATTTAGTAGGGAATTTCTTTGTTGCCTAGAGAAGCAAGGTTCGTGAAGTTCGAAAAGGCGTAAACTACAACCCGTTCATGGAAAGTACTCAAATAGTACCGCACACGAAATGTCACTAATTTTCTTGTCGTAATGCTTAATATAGAAATTTCAATGTAAATCATCGAATTTTGTCAGTACGTTGTTTACACTTCTGTACGGAGAAGCAGTATGCCGCAACTACACAGTTGTTTGCCATATTTGCCAAGTTTCATTGAAATCGATTTACCAGAACAGTGCGCGAAACCGGTTTCAGCTCCTAGTTACCCACCCTTACAGGTAGAATATTTTCTCCAAATTTTAATGGGACCAATACTGTGGTACCCCTTTCCAACAAAAAAAAAATCATCAAATTCAGTTCACAAATTATAGTATAATAAAAGTTATCGTGTAAAATGCCTACATAAAAAAACTATAAATTTGAGAACCTCCTCCTTTTATTGAAGTCGGTTAGTAATGTAGGTAACTAGTTCTTTTCATCTGTCATTCACACGATCACGATTCACGGTCTCCAATTTATTTCATAGGTATTTTCATAAAACCATTGTTTTTTTCTAGACCAATCCATTTTGTGTCATTCAAATACGGAACTATTGCAAGATATGAATCATATGGCCGAGTAAGTGGTGAGTTTGAAACCTTAGGTCATTGTACCTAGGCAAAGACAAAAATGATAAAAAGTAATTGCAATGAACAACACAGATATTGGATTTTAACAAAGATTCATAGGATAGTCCATAGCGCTGCAGTGTAGACAGAACACTTGTCATAATAAACTAGATTACAAACGTTATCTTTGTTATCCTCATCGTTTCAAAATATTCTCAGGTTTACGTTTTTCACGCGTTCAATGAGTATATTGGGAACATTAATATTCTTTAAATGTCTATGAGGATTCATAATCATTCAGGTAAGTAGGTACCTACATATGTCATTAATTATGTCGCGATTTAGTATTCGTTTTGTAATATCTTAACAAATTTAGTCTACTATGATACCTAAGAGTAGGCAACTAGCCCGGCAGTCTAGGCATTATATATTCTGAAGGTGAGATATCAGGCATCTGCTGGCAGTGCACTGGCTGGTCGGTGGACACACACATAGACAACCACAAATTACACCCAAACTCGTAGAGAAATAAATGTAAGCCATACAAATATTTCTCCCAGCCCGGGAATCGAACTTGGGACCCCTGAGTGGCAGTTCGGCATCGTAACCGTTCGGCCATGGAGGCAGTTAACAGTATTTGTTACCTAGACAGCCTGAAGATAGAGTATGAGGAAGCAGTAACATTTAGAATGAGTCCCGCCACTGTACTGAAGGTATAAAGGGCGCATGTAGCAGAGGAAAGGCGGCTGTAGGGGTGTGTTCAGATCCATAGGATCAGGATCAGGATATGAGGACAAGGACCCATTAGGACAATAATAGTAGTCCAATGAAGTAGAATAAAGTTAGAAGTATATGCGAAGAAAGATACTCTATTTAAAGGCAGTTGTGACAGAAAGAACGTCGCATATGTAAATTACATTATGATAGAACCTTACATGTTGCTTCATCATACGTTATTGATTTTCTTAATCTGTAAGTAGCACATAATTATTTGATCTTCTCTTAATAAGACAGAAGCGTGGATAGTACTAGTTTTTTAAAGAGCTTTCTAATTAAACTTTGGGTTAATAAATTAAACATCATCAATCCATTTTTTTATATATAAACAATAAGTGCGCATTTGACCTCCATCTCACCTGATGGAAAATGACGATAAGGTCGAGGATGTAGCATGCACACCTAAATAATGCCTATTCACTCGCCTTGAAGAGGTCCAAGTTATATCGTTCGGGGAACAAGTCTGCTGGCAGGGAATTCCACTCCCTAGCCGCTCGCCATATAAATGTGGAAGCGAAACGCTTCGTGCGAATCTGGGGAATATCCATAACATAGGGGTGGAACCCCAGCCCACGTCTAGTCCCCCGATGATGGAAAGGGGAAGGCGGAGTCAAATTATGCAATTCCATCACACACTCTCCGCGATATACCCTGTAGAATACCGATAAGCTGGCAACTCTACGGTGGTGTTCAAGGCTCAGCAGCTTCGCCTCTACTAACTCCCAGTCACCTATAAGCCTCTTAGCACGCTTGTCTATTGAATCCAAGGTGGCCAGTTGGTATTTAGCAGAGCCATTCCATAAGTGGCAGCAGTCCTCCATACACGACCGAACTTGTGTTTTGTACAGCTGAAACAACTTTCGCGGTTTGAATACGTTTAAACGTGTTTATATACGACCCACTAGGCACATGGTCATAGTCGTCCGCGATGGCTCAATACGGGTTGAGGATTTGGCACATTTTTCGAGTGATGTGAACCTTCTTCGGCGCGCGGGTTTTGTCACGATGTTTTTCTTCACCAAAAAGCTCACGGTAACTCTCAAATATATTTTTTGAAATTTCTCACATAAATTCTTAGAAGATCAGAGGTGTGAGCCGGATTCGAACCTACTACGGCCTCTGCTTGAGAAGCAGTAGTCAAAAACCGTTAAAAATTAAATTAAACCGGTAGCATAATTTATGTTATGATAAATAATCATTATTTAAGTAACTATGTGATGTACTGTGTGTAGTGTATTGTTTTTATTATTAAAAACTAGCTATAATAAAGAGTCACGTCGTGAAGAACTGCACCTGCTGAAGCCTTTTCGTCTATAGACACATTTGTTGAAACAACTGGCCCACCCACTCTTCAACAATTATAACTTTTTATTAAAAAAATCCTCAAAAGTTTATTTATCCGTTTTAGCTGTTTTATTTTGTGTCAATATTTATTGAAATCGGTTAACGGAAGGTGGGTTAAACCCAATAAACCGAATTAAACCCCTAATTTGCCATTCTTAAAATTTCAAAATATTAAATGGAATATTTTCTTCAAATTTGAATTGGACGGCTACTGAACTAGCCCCTTTCCAACAATAAAAGAATCATCGAAATCGTTTCACAAATATCGCAGTGATCGCGTAACATGCACAATAAAAATACCGACCAAATTTAGAAATTTCTTCTTTTATAATGGTACGAACAAGTAACGGGACGAACAAGTCGTGCGCCTGAGTAAGCTACACGCCTGTCCATAACAGTTGCAGTGCCAACTTTAAATCGCAAAGATCTGAGGGGCACTGTCACTGCGCTCGTCACCCTGAGACATAAGTTGACAAGTCCCATGTGCCTGTAATTTCACCAGCACCCTTACCCTTCAAAACCGGAACACAGTAATGCTGGCATTACTGCTTGGCGGCAGAAATAGGTAAAGTGGCAGTACTACCCTGCATGCTGATTTTGATTCAAATCGGAATCGAGCCCATCGGGTAGTCTCGAAATCAGACGGGTTTCCGAGCGAGAAGATGAACCTAATTCCTACTATATATTTCTAATTTGTGAGTGAGAATCAACTATTGTTGCGATTTCAAATGACAAAAGTATCCGATCGGCCAGTTGAGAATCGCAATTATGCGTCTCGACTCGGGAGAGATGCAGTTTCCGATCGGGAGAGGCAATCAAAATCAAGCTACTGGACGAACTCTTTCACAAGGAACTCTACTGCTACTTCTCCTTTTTGTAGTCGGTTAAAAAGGGTTCTAATACCAAATAATAAACTACAATATCAAAACTTACGGGCGGGTGCACAACGGCAAACGAAAGTTTAACTGCAATTTGATTATAATGGCTTTAACCCTTTCCTCGGAGGAAACAGGAGACCCGTGCTCAGCAGTGAGATATAATACTTCAGAGACGAAAGTTTTACAGCAATCGGATAAATAATAATGTAACGCAAACAGGACAAAAATACATTCATTGTTATTCAAGTTTACGCATATCTAGAAATTCAATATAGGTGTGTCAATTGATACAATTACTAAAGCTGATATAGTAGGTATATACGTGGAGTTAAAATTCACAATATGCTTTTATTATTTTAATGTTAAACAATAAATGTTAAATAAAGTAGTATTGTATAAAGTCTATAGAGCATAGCTATTTGCAATAAAATTAATAAATAAAGTGTATTTGTCTCGGGTTACAAAACGATTTATAATCTGAGGTAGTTGTATTAAAAGTCGTCACAATATTATTAAGAATAGCATTGACGCCAATAAAATCAAGCATTCCTACTTGATTTCAAAGACAAAATAAACAAATTTATGAATGCACGAGGTAAACAAAGTACTGTGCGGTTTCCGGCACAAATTTGCACTGGGTCGGTGCCACGATCGACAACATTGATATTTCAACTACAACAAACTTTCGTTATCGTAAATGTGAAGTTAAGACTACATACATTATGTATATTTACCTGATATGCTGCTCCGATTTCATTAGTTTTCCCACGTTCTTATTTGTTTCTACGATTGAAATGTCTAATTATTTATTTAAAATATTTGACGACGACATGCTAGCATTTCTGAGATGGCATGTTATGATTTTGGTCCACGAATCGGAACAGAAGGCTAGAGTAGCAAGGTTTAATTGGATTTTTTTTTTAAATATCGATGTAAAATATCGATTTCTATATATTTTCTTAAATCGACTATACATCACTATTGCAAAATATTTTTAGGTTCAGTGTGTGACATAGGAGATAAAGTAAAAAGACAAGAAACATGCAGAAACAATATTGCTACTTTTCTCTCTCGTGACTTGTTTTTAGCGTCTTTGGCGTAGCTTGATATCAGTTTTGCCAGGTCTACTGTTTTTCCAGTAGATCTACTGTTTTTGGACGATATCTACTGTTTTCTGGTTATATACTCGATGACTGTTTTACTGTTTTTTAGCGAATTGCTAGTTTTTTAGGAATTTTCAGATTTTTCACTTTTCACAACTAGTCTTGTCGGCTTTTTAAATTTTGTGAATCGTCTTTTCCATTTACGACGTCGTTACTTTATGTTTTTGGAATGAAAATGTAGTAGTAATGTAGTATTAATGTGCTAATAAAAAATGTTGTAAATTGTTGTTATTGGATAAAATAGGTACTTTACGCACTCCAAAAACATCATTCAGTATGTTTTTTTATCTGGTATTATTAAAAAACTTTTACGTGCATGCATTTTGCATTAACGTGATCTCAACTGTGACTCTCTGAACTTATTGAACATCTGTCGGAGTTTTTGCAAAACTTTAAAATGTGGTAAAATCATAAAACATAGTCCTTTCATTTTTTTTTAGTATTTCGGCATCACAGATCAATCACAGATGTAGAAAATGCGGGGAAGTTAAAAGTGCTTCAAACACCGAAGTTCAGCATCTACTGTTTTTTTTTTCCTCAATCTACTGTTTTTTCTGTGCAATATCATCCCATTTTTTCAGATTTGATCTGGCAACACTGCTTGACATTTCGTTTTTGCTATTCACAATTTTGATTACTCACTACTTATTTTACGCTAAACTATTCGGCAGTTTTCTTGTGTAATTCATCCGAAAGTATCGAAGGTAAGTCTTTCTCTATATTTCAAAAAATAAAAAATACCATATACAAACGAAGTAGCAAAGCGCCTTGTCATTGTAACATAACCTTTTCGACCGGCTTTAAAAGTTTTTCGTGTCGATTTTGTAGATGTTCCTGACACGATCCGAGTATGACCGTGGAGTCAACACGTTCAGCCCTGAAGGGAGGCTGTTCCAAGTGGAATATGCGATTGAAGCCATCAAACTTGGCTCTACAGCCATCGGCATTTGCACCTCGGAAGGAGTCGTGTTGGCGGTGGAAAAGCGAATCACGTCGCCTTTGATGGAACCTACGACGATTGAGAAGATTGTGGAAGTGGATCGCCATATCGCTTGTGCTGTGTCAGGACTAATGGCGGATTCTAGGTGAGTATACATTTATGTACATGTACTTTTTAGATTGTTTTTAACTTAGAAAACTTCTGGGCTATAAGGATTTAACAAGCATGACAAAGTAAAATATACATTTACGTCCTTTATGTAAAGATGTAAGTAATTTATATTACAAGATTAAGAACATGATAAGCTAATTGCTCTATGCAAGTATAGTATGAGTCTCACCTAAAGTCTGATCAAAGAGCTTGCTGTATAAGACAAAAGACAGTTTGTTTTCGTGTGTATTCTCCTTAACAGTACTATTAAAAACCACTTTTACTAATTAATACCCTGCCTATTAATTTAGTACAAGGTACGGTGTAAATTATCTCTCAAATTCACATAGAACCTGAATACCGATCTTTGTGGTACTCCTTGAATTGGCTATTGCGTAATGGGCAGATAATGACAAGCCCGGATTTATCTTTAGCGTACTGTGCTGCCACTCTTAACCACTTTTTAATGAATAAATATAACTTATTTATTTACGATTTATATCAGGTAAAAATTGATTTTGTTTCTTCATGCAAAGGCTTTTAACACCTTAACTTCGTGGTGATGGCTTTTGTATGTATACAAATATAATAATCATATCCTCATTCCAGAACACTAGTGGAGCGTGCCCGGGTTGAATGCCAGAACCACTGGTTCGTATATAATGAGCGGATGAGTGTAGAGTCATGTGCACAGGCCGTGTCTAACCTTGCCATCCAGTTTGGTGACAGTGATGATGACAGTGGCACTGCCATGTCTAGACCATTTGGTGTTGCTGTCATGTTTGCAGGTTTGCTATCTTTCACAAACATTGATTTGGCTGTTATTTTCTTATTTATCATAATTTTTTTTGCGTCTTTAGTGTGTTGATATTGTTGACATGATGATGGCAAGCACTGCATTTGCACTTCACATATCTACAGAAAACTTTCAACTTTTCAGGTATTGATGAGAAGGGTCCTCAGCTGTTCCATATGGATCCTAGTGGGACATTTGTTGAATATGACGCTAAAGCGATTGGATCTGGCAGTGAGGGTGCTCAACAGAGCTTGAAGGTAAAGTGATGGATAAGAATCTGTGTCACACTGATCAAATTGGGGCACCTAGCACAGAGCCTGAGGATGTTAATTTCATTGATTGGGACATTTAATGAATTTCCCACAAGACTATGGGTCACTACTGTAGTATGTTTCACATAAAACCTCATACATTTCTCTAAAATCTCAAGTTCAAAATCTGCTGTTCTAGAAGCCTCAGAGGTGTAATACAAACCTCATGTGCAGTCAACAACTCATCAAGTTATACTGATTCATCCGAAGAACAGAGTCCGATGTGATTATACAGTGAAAAGAGGATAAAAACAATCTCATTATTCAAACTAAGCCTATCTGTAATCTGTGTGTGATGTTTTCAGAATTTTTATATCTTATTTCATTTCGGAAATATAAAATCGAACAATGGTCGTTCTGATGTCCACAGCGAAAAACAAAAAGTGAAATATGCAATGTCCTGAGAATAAGCCATCTTGCACATAGGTTTCTGTTCTCTATGGTTAAGTTGATGCACTTTAGTTCGAATATCTCCTCCAGAGCAACAGAATACAATCCTTCAATGTGTAGCTTGAATCTTGCTATGCTACTGTTCCATATAATCTCTACTACTAGTGCTTTATTTTTTTACTATGCATAATTTTTTCTAATACATAATAATAATGATTATAATGCACACACTCAACATAGCCCCGCACTAGGGAAACCCTGAGTCATGGGTGCCATGGACACACACAATAGACAACCACAAATTACTCCCAAACTCATAAGAGAAATAAATGTAGGCCATACAAATATTTCTCTCGGTCCGGGGAATCGAACCCAGGACTGCTGCACGGCAATTCGGCATGGTAACCGTTCGGCCACTTAGGCAGTTATATGAATTTTGGACGTTTGTTTGGATGTGAATAAACAAGAATCATACAGTGTGTTGATTTTCATTCTCGCCATATTTAAGACAATAATTAAAAAAATTAAGCTAAATCATCTAAAAATATTCTATTCAATATTCTGGCTAATTATATCTAGTAAAGTATTGCAAAATTGTCCGTAAATAGTATGCACCGCGCCCGGGCTCGCGGACTCGTAATTTTCTCGATTACTTATTTATCTATTTTTTTTTATTATGATTTACAATAATTAGAAAAGTTAAATTTTCAATAATGCCTGAAAAAAGTTTATTTTTATTTATAACTTTGATTTGGGACTTACCAACTTTAGGTTACATGAAAGTATTGCTAGAAGTGTCTACCACCACGGGGTATGCAACGATTCGCACTTTGTCGAGTTTTGTTTCAACTTTTTAAGCACTAGCAATTTTGACTTCACAACTTTGAAAGCAGACGATTTTTCCGAGCAATTCTTCGACACTCGTAATCTACTCCGCGTAAACTAAGCGGTTTACATCACCTCATAGGTAATAGTCACGCATTTGCCGTCCATAATGAGAAGGAGCACCACTTGACGGTAATGCCACCAGAACCAGGTGAACCTGGTAGCGGTTCTTTTGTGCATGAAGTTTACAAACGACGCGGCCATTTCGCGAGAGATTAGAATTGCGGCGGGCTCGGGCTCGGCTATCCTAGTGCATGAACGAGCGCGAGGCGCGGGCGCTTACTGCGTTTGAGAAAGAGATAGCAGCAGTTTGGCGGTTCCTTTGTCGGCCCGCTGCGCTACAAGTTTTGGTAGCACGTGCTGTCTAAATTCATGATCTTTAGATCAGGTGATTGGGAATCGATGTTTACCGCAATAAAAAAAAAGAATTTAGGACTTTTTAGCGATTTATTTTTTTAGTGATTTGGGTTCAGTTTCGTATATAGAATGTAAATATCGCGAGAATGCAAATCAATACATTGTATTTTGCATCTCAATTTAGGTAATGAAATTTTAGCATTTGACACATAATTAATTTAGGTCTTTTCATAATTTTGTATTGTATGTTATGGGATTTACCCATTATAACTACAAAATACTAATTCTAAGAGCTGTGTTATTCAACAAAGTTATTACATCCACAGGAAGTATACCACAAATCGATGACACTAAAGGAAGCAATAAAATCAGCTCTCACAATCCTCAAGCAAGTGATGGAGGAGAAACTGTCCGAAAACAACGTAGAGGTGGTCACTATGACTCCAGGGCAGATGTTTCACATGTTCACAAGGGAACAGCTTGCTGAGGTTATTAAGGACATACCTTAAGTAGTTTGAGTATATGAGTAATAATATTTCATGGCGTACGTAGATATGCAATATGACATAAAATTATAAATTTTAACCACAGTGACAAGTGGAAGTAAAATAAATATTCATTTTATGACAGATTCCTAGACTAACTGGGAAAATAGCTGATGACCTTTAAATGGTTGAAAATGTTTTCATCAAATACATATTACATATAATACCATTCCAATTAAATTAGAACTATCCGTTGTGAGCTATGATGCCACAGACTGTCAGACGCTTAGATACAAAGACAAATGCTTCAAACTTACAACTTGCCTCCTTTTTGCGTCGGGGGTTAGGTTGAAGGTAGACCAATAATCAGGGAAGTATGTTCGCTTTTGAAGCTTGTAAGATCGTAGATCTCAGACTGGTTGCACAGCTGTGCGTATAGTCCGGAAGGTTTGTCCGCCTGCGGGCCATTCGCGTGTGTAGAATCCCCAGTGCTCTGAATAGAGTATTTAATTTGATGCGGAAATTCACGGAAGACAGTCGCCTACAATAAACGCACGGGTGGCCTGTGCGGAGTTCATGCGGAGCGTGTTCCGTTCGGAGCAATCTGCATCACTGTAAAACGATGTTCTAATGCCCCACGTGTAATAAATCTGCACTGCTCCGAAACCAGTCTCAGGGACTCTCCACACTTGACGGAGCAGAATCGCAGTATGTCAGTCAGAAAACAGCTTTATGTCTTTGTACTACGAGCGAAAGAGACGTTGTGTGTTTCGCTTTAGCTCGGATTTTCGAAACGAAACGCACGCTTTTTCGTTTTTTTTTGCTTGGACGTGGCTTTTTATAACCGGCTAAAGCCGATTCTGCGTTAATAAGGGTACCAGTCAGTAAGGAGAGTGACTATATGTGTCTTGGTACGATACTGTTGTTGCATATCTACTTACGCTGTAGTATTTAATGTATGGTTAAAGTATTTAGTCGTATTTTGAGTAAATTGTACTTTATTCTCTATTTTCCATCCTAAACTATGTTTAATGAATGTTTCATTTACGTATTACAGAAAATCGGCATTTACATAATTAGAAATACTTATTGTATTATGGATTGTTTTTATTTATGCATTTATACAAGCTTGATTATTACTTGAAACAAAAAAGTTATTGTTATATATTTTCTTCCAACTTAACCATTTGCTACTATGAAATAAAGGGTGATATTTTCTTAATTCACGATAGTTTAAGAGTAATCCTTCTTACCAATATAAGTAAATTTTCATTATAAACTTTAACTCACTCGTATTTCAAAATCAGTATAACTCAGCTTTTATATACTAAACGTGCATACTTACAATCAAAAGGTATAAAACTACGCACTAATGTGCATACTTCGTCCAAAATCAGATCTGATTTAAAAAAAAACGTACTAACAATTTTACTATAATAACTAGATCTAAATGAAATTTTTTACGTTATGATATCACTTATTATAGACCAAAAACAAAGACTGCAACAAGCACATATGAAATTCGTAAGTTTTGCTGGTTCCATAGCTCAGTTGGGAGAGCGTCAACCGCGGTATGGCGAAGTCGCTGTTTCGAGTTTACCCGGATCGAAGGAATTTTTCTTTGTGTTTGATCTTTGTATTAATAATTTATAACAAATTTTCATCACACTTGCTCCTAAATACTATGATTGCATGGTGGCTAACTTGGCTATAATGCCCCAAATAAAAACCTCGGGCCTTTTTTCAGCCATGGTCGGTAAGTTGTTTTTTGAAATTTGTAGCGCGACATACTTCCTTGCTACGTAGGTCAAGTTCAAATTCAAGCAAAGAAGTTAAGTTCAAAATTAAAACATTCGCTTAAAATCTAAACAGAAATTTTATTGCAACTCAGCCACATACTACTTAAATAGTTATTATTAAGAATTTCTTATAATTGATTTAAATAATGTTCTGTATAAAAGTTTTGCATTTTTTTTACAATCCATCAGCATACAGCTTCTTTGCTTTTTACAACATTTTAGTTCGAGTTGTATTATCTATGGAACAATAGGTAGCTGGCCATCTGTTGATAAAAAATACCCGCCATTTGCAAAATTCCTAATTGTGTTGTGAATTATAAAAAATAAACATTGTATTTATTTCCTCGCAAATGTGATGAAAAACGTTGTATGTATCACGGACGGTAAAAAATTGCAAAACTCGAGTTTGAGTCTAATTGGCCCTCGTTGGAAGTTTCTTAATTTCCGTCCACAATACACAATGCACTCTTACTATATTGTGAAATAAAAAATGTAACCCACTACATACAATATGAACTATTTGTCTGACCTAAACATTTCATTAAACTAAACGCCGTCAATACACAATCGTTATACAGGAGTAAGTTTTGATTCTGATGTAATTACAATATCACCTAATCTATTTCTACTTTATCCTTTGGCAAACATTAAAAATGTTAGATAAACTTCTATAAAATCAATAATTAGGCCTTTAAATTATGTACTTAGGTACTGACATATTATAAGGCTGACGACAAGTCTAGCGAAAAAACGCGAAACAATTTAAAGCGCACGCATTACGCTGATAGTGAACATGTACATATAAGGCCCGATTTACGACGTTTTGTAATCATGGCATGATGAACTTTAATGTCAATTTTGTAACGTACAAACTAGATAAGGGTCGAAGACAGTTCGTGCGTTTTCGGCATTATGCTATTTACAATTTCGTTACAAAAATTATACAGCTTAATTCTTTTTTTTATTAAAAAAGCTTAGCCTAAATTATAACGTAAATTGGGCCTTAAAGTCATACAAATATTTACGTGACTTCAATACTGAACTCTTTGAAGTTGCGCGCGCAAGTATGCCGTCGTGTTTTCTGCTAGATTTATTCTCAGCTTAAGATAAACATCTATTATGTGTAAAAAGTAACTGAATACAGTTTATTTAAAATATTACTTGCGGTGTGGGTTATATTTGTGAGTCTGAGGTGAGTATGCCTATTCACGTTTTTAATAAAAATGTAATTATACATAAAAGAAATATTTTATTTAATTAACCTTGTAAACAGTACATTGTAATATATTTAGAACCTTATTTTGGAGTTACGTAAAGTAGTTTTTCGTATGTATGTATTTTGGAATTTAATTTACACGGAATATATACTATTGTGGTCTGTACTCGGGGTGAAATTTTTAGTTTTACAAGATTTCACAGGATGCTTTTATTCATTAATGTTAACAATTATAATACGTGGACGCCCTCAAAGAATATCAGCTGTATACGTATAAAACAAAATAAGCAACACGACCAACAGAAATGGGACTACTGATTTGAGGGGAGTCCCTGTAGTAAAAGTTGTACATATTTTTGAATATAATCTCTTGCCAATAATATATGAAAGAAAAATTCCCCTGTTTACCGCCACGCTTATTATATTAGAAATATTGGTATGCCACTTATAATTAGTAACAACTATATAAAAATGTGGTTATATTGAATATACAATTTTGAAGATTCAAATACGAACATGCTGGTGGGGTAGGCCGACAATATATCATGCTAGCCAACAAGTTAAAAATGGATAACCTATGTTAAAGGTGGCAAGCCACATTAGGAGTTCGTCCTCAATACACAGTAGGTACTGCCACCTTACCTATTTCTACCGCGAAGCTGTAATGTGAGCATTACTACGTTTCGATTTCGAAGGGTTAACGGTGCTGCTGCACATGGGACTTGTCAGGGTGACGAGTGCAGTGGTAGTGCCCCTCAGATCTTGCGATTTAAAGCTCTCAGTGGCACTGGGACTGCTATAGACAGGCGTGTCCTTACCACCAGGCGCACGACTTGTTCATCCTGTCACTTGGTATCATAAAAAAACGATATGCGTCAAAAATCAGGTGACATGTCGACTAAGTTATTCTAGCGGACATTTTAGTCGATATATCATCAGATATTTATGATAAAAGATAAGTCCGCTTCGCTTACATAAACATTCACTGCAAAGTTGTTGGTTAACGGTGGTTAACATATTTGTTAATTAATGGATCGCTCTTAACTTGATTACTAGATATACATACTTAATTCCTAATCCTGTATTCCCTTATATGCATTGAGCAACAATAAATGAATGTCCTGCACCATTGTACCAGCTAACTCCTAAGGTGACAAGGCATTCATTTGCAGATATGTACATGTTGAAAGGCGTGGCTTGAGAAATCCCGCCCAAGCACGAGAAAGCTCGTGCATTCTGCGGAAGATTTTGGTTCGTATTTAATTTGTACGTTACACAATTGACCATAAAGTTAATTATGCAATGTACGATATCGTTATAAAAATTCGCTTCCGTTCCGTCGCGACATAAATTGAGTCTTATAGGTGACTCGGAAACAGTAGAGGAGAAACTGCAGAGCCTTGAATACCTCTGTAAACTTGCCTGCTTATCAGTATTCTGCCGTTGTTCGTTAGTTGAAAGGGTACATGTGACATTAAAAAAAATATGCATGTATACTGCGTAGTATCAGTAGAAGAGGCCGATCTGTCACTATTTTTATTTTTTCCTAGGTGGATAAGATATGAAATTACCGCAAGAGGAAAGTACATATTTTTTAATTTCATTTCTTGAAACATTATTTTCTCTCGGTTTTGAGTTTTTGTCACAAACTTCCTTTTAATTACGGCGGCAGTATTTCTACAGGATATATAACGGAAGTGTACGAGGAAATTGCATTATTTAATTCCGCCTTCCCCTTTCCATCAGGGATTAGACGTAGGCTGGAGTTCCAACCCCTATTTTGTGGATATTCCAAGGATTCGCACGAAGCGATAGGCTTCCACATTTATATAGCGAACGGCCTATGGATGCACTCCATACCCCATTCCCTGAACGAGATAACTTGGGCCTTTTCAAGGCGAGAGTAAATAGGCATATTTAGGTGTGCATGCTCCATCGTCGAAGTCGTCACTTACCATCAGGTGTGATGGAGGACTCAAAAATTGAGCCTCGATACATGCTACTCCGATAATATATAGTTACATCGACATCGACGGAGTATCTTGTGTCGAAGTTCAATTTTAGAGTCGTGGCGGAGGTCAAATGCGAATTTATTTTGTGAATAAAAAAATACACACATTGTTCTTTAAAATTTATCGAACCTTAGAAACAGAACGCCGTAAGCCAGTTGTTAGCTTATCTTTCTGTTGGCTTGTTTATTGACATTGAAATTTGATTTCTTTGAGCATTGTATTTTTCATTGGTAAAATAATGTATGGTGTCAAGAATGCCTACCTGTACCGCGCACGCTTTGTATAGGTGATCCCTCGCAATTTTTTAAAATTCTATACATTTAATAGCAATCTCTCTTGGTGTGTGTCGAGGATGAAACTTGTTTGTCTATCCAATGCCTTGATCCATATTACTCTATTGTGGGACACAACCCTAGGCGGAGTGTTCCTCAGGAACTATTTACATATTATTTTTCTCTCCAAACTTTGCTTATTATAAATTATTTATTTACAACAGATGATAGCGAACATGCCAGAGCTCCAGTGGAGCGAGAATAGCTCAAAGAATACGATCCAAGAGCTGTCCAAGCTGCGACTCGGGAGACAGACCGTTTGAACTTGAAAACTACAGTCGACAACACGTTGGGCTTTGAGCTTCGAATTTCAATTCTATACCACACACGTTAAGAAAGATGCAAAGTGTAAGGCCCAGCAGTAATTTCTTTTAAATGTGTTATAGTTTCTGTCTAATAAAGTTATATGACTTGTAATAAGTCATTTAATTAATTACTTGTTAGTGTTTTAGTTTTGGTATGTGATTCAGGAATTCAACTATGAACGTGCTGATAATAAATACCCCGTATAAAAATACTATGGATGCTAATATAATATATATATATATATATATATATATATATATATATATATATATATA